CCGTTCCGCCGCCAGCGTTATGCGATGAGAGGGTGCTGCCCCAGAAGAGCACCATCGACAGGGGTGTGAAAAGTGGAAATAGCGGTGGAGTAGCCCGCGAATGGTCGAAGCCGCCAGGCCTTCTTCCAAGCGAGCTTGCAAAAACTCAATACTGGACTAAATCCGCCCCAGAAAAGGGATCTGCAATCCCCTATCTGAACGCCAGCGGCGCATAGCGGACCACCTATCCTCATACTGAATGTTTGTCGAATCCGCCTCCGAAGCCAGAATTGTGTCTGCAACTGCTGCAGGAATTCCAGCGTGCCTCGAGGTTAGACCTGACAGAGGCCAAGCCACCCACTGAATCCGTGGATTTGGGTGGGAAGCTCGTTCTGAGTGAGAATGTCCGATTCGTTAAGGTAATAGAACAGGAGGCTGAGCCAGAAACCTGAGAATTACGGAAACCAGCTCTGTGATGGCCAAAGCGTGCCAGTAGCACAAGCAGCCGAGCTGGCTGGGTGGACAGCTGTGAAAGGACACAGGGAATGAGTGGTAACGGCGGGAACGCCCAGAGCACTTTGCCCGTCCAATCCAGCAGGAAGGCGTCGGCAGCCAACGCCCCTGGGTCCGGTATTCGAGAGCAGAACACGGGTGTCTGATTCGTCCCGCCGGACGCAAACAGATCCACCTGGAACGACCCGTACAACTGGGAGATTACTCTGAAAATCTGCCTGTCGAGCATCCACTCGTGCGGGGCCAGGATCCGGCGAGAGAGCGTGTCTGCTCGCACGTTCTCCAGCCCCGGGAGATAAACAGGGAGTACCTGACAATCGTACTGGTCGCTCCAGAGGAGGAGCGCTCGGGACACCGTGCCGCCCTGCTTCAGGATGTACGACATGGCCGTCTGGTTGTCGAACTGAAGACGGACTACATGGCCACGGACATGCTCTCTGAAGCACTCGAAAACCAACCAGCTCTCAGTTCCAACATGTTGATGTGAAGGTGGGCTTTGGCTTCGGACCAGAGTCCGGACGCCGACAGACTGCCCAGAACACCCCCCCAGCCCGTGAGGGACGCATCGGTCTGAACTGTGAGAGCTGGCGTCGGGATTTCCAAGGGGAACCCCCTGGTGAGATTCCCGACAGTTGTCCACCACTGAAGGTGAGGTGTCAACCACTCGGGGACTGTGAGACTGCGCTCCAGATCCTCCGTGTGAGTCCACAGCCGAGCCAAAGCTTCTCCCGAACTCTGGTGATCCGGTCGGGCGACAAGGAAACGAGATCCTTGTTTGTTTGGAATCGCACCCCAAGAAAAACCGAGTCCTGGGTGGGTACCAGGTCGGATTTCTTGAGGTTGATGATCCACCCCAGGCGAATTAGAATGTCTATCACTGTGTGAGTAGCATCTAGACTCGCTGGCTGTGTTAGTGCTCCGAGCAACCAGTCGTCGAGGTAAGGGTAACAACGCCTTCCTTGCGAGCGAGCGAGGGTAGCTTGGTGAACATGAGCTTGGTGAACACCGTTGGGGCAGTCGATATGCCGAAGGGGAGCACCCTGAATTGGTAATACATCCCGTCGTAAGAGAACCGAAGGTACTGCTTGAACGATGGATGTATGGGCACATGCAGATACGCATCCTTTAGGTCGATTGACGTGAGCCAATCGCCGGGCTGAACAGATGAGATCACCGAGCGCAGTGTCTCCATCTTGAAGGATGGTACTTCTAGCATGCGGTTCAACCCCTTGAGGTTGAGAATGGGACGGAACCCGCCGTCTTTCTTCGGGACGAGGAAGTACGTGGAGTAAAATCCCGCCTGTTCCTCTCCCGGTGGAATGCGCTCGATTGCGGACTTGTCCAGCAGAGCCTGAACTTCGTCGCGCAATATGTCCGCCCTTGCCTGACATGACGGCACCGGAGTGCGGCGTATGCCGGTGAAGTCGGGCGGACCTCGCTTCCACAGTGGTAAATGGCCGATGTTGACGGTGGACAGCACCCAAGCATTGTTGGTAGCCTTCTCCCATTCCGGCAGGAATAGAGAGAGGCGGCCTCCCACTGGGATATGGGGTAGGAGCGTGTGCGTTGTCCCGAGTAGCGGAGCTGACTGGGCGTGACACACGGCTTGAGCGACAGCCTGATGGGTTAACGGGAGGTCGGGGCAGACCTCCCGCGCCCGCGAAAAGGCTGGGAGCTAGTCGACGAGGACTGCTCCTTGCCCCTACCCTTGGCGGACCGGTTCCTCCGCCTACCCCTACCAAGCGTCCGAAGCCAGCCGGCAGACTCGGGTGTAGGCTGCACCCCGGCGGAGGAAGGTGGAACGGGCGCGCGGGGGCGAGACACCCGCAGCTGCTCCAACAAGGCCTTAGAGTCCTTGAAGGAGGTAGCTGCAGCGGCAGCCTCCCGAATGACCTGCTGTGCCCCTGGAAAGAGGGTCGCTCCCAGACGGAATGGGAGGGCCAGCAAGGTCTGCTGTGTCGCTGCCGAGTACCGAGACGTCGACAGCCACAGCTTGCGCATCCCATGACTGGGCACATCACCGTCCAGCAGCAGACCGCCAAAAGAAGTCGCTACGCGAGGTGGGCCTGTACTTCCGATAGCTGACCAGCAGCACGACATGCAGCGAAACGTCACCAGCATGCCCCTCCGCCTCAGGGCCGACCTCTGTATCGAGGAGAGGTAGGCCTCATGGACCACCACCCTGACCTGCTGCATAGCGTTCCGGTAGACCTCCTCGTAGGTCCGGTATGCATGCCTCAGAAGCGCCGAGGGCAAAGCGGTGGAGTAACATGCCCTTGCCGAGCAGCGGGAGCTGCTCCGGATGAAGCCGAGCCTCCCCCCAGGGCGACGGAAGTGAAAACACACTCGTCCACGATGGGTACCACGAACAGGGATTCCTCCCCAAGTTGGTATCGCCGTACAAGCTCCGGCAAGTCGAACCGGACACGGGAACCAGACAAGAGGGGATCAACCACGTCCTGTACCAACGAGGGCAGAATGCGGAGCTGCGTATGTGTAGGCTGCCTAGGGGCAAACGCCTCGTCTGGCAAGCGGAACTCAGCCGAGTCCGAGCTGCCAACAGGCACCGCGGCCTGGGGTAGGCCCTCGGCAATCCTTTGCCGGACCTCCCGCAGAGCCGGTGGGCGGCCTAGCACTAGGAACCACAGAGAGGGAGGAGCAGACAGAGTGCCCCGCGTCAGCGCCTGCACGGACCCCGGTCCCGAGACGCTGGAGGCATACCAGGCAGAACTGGTGCCTCCGCTCTCATGGGGCGGGAGGGCGCAGGGATCGGAACCCCAGGAATACTCAACGGTCCCTGCGCCAACTCCGAGAGGGGGACTGGGAGCACCTCCCCTTCCGGGGCAGCCCAGGCGTCCGGACCCGAAGCCAGAGGCAACGGGTCTACAGACGCCTCAAGGCTGAGGGATCGAGCCGAGCCCGGCGATCCCACCCCCAGACTCTCCGCCCCCCGACCAGAGTGAGCGAGGAACTCCCGCCGGAGCCCTCCAACAGACTCCTGGACGAGGGACTTCACGGAGTCCACATGTTGCTGAAATAATTAAGTCATTAATGACATGTCAAATCCACCAGTAGTAGTGGGAGAGGGGGATTGGCTTTGGGATTTTTTTCCCTTACGAGACCGCTTTTGGGTCTTAGACGGGGGGACCTGGGTGAGTTCCCCACCCGCCTCTCGCATCTCTTTATAAAAGAGAGTGTCAGCTGCCCTCCTCTTTTGGGCACGGGGGGAAAACCCAAGACAGATAGTACACACTTCGGCGTCATGGCCGGTTTTCTCCAGGCAGGCCACACATTGGTCATGCCTGTCGGCCCGTGGAATGCTCTGTCCACAGACCGAACAGGAGGTAAAGGCCTGAAAGCAAACACGCAAGCATGTAGCTAACGGCGCACCAGCAACATATATACACGTAGAAAACATTGAAAAATACGTGAAGGCTACCACGGGAAGGAATAGTTGGTGCAATACACAATATTACGACCACATGGCACGCTAAACTTCCCGCCATGGCAGAGCAACGTGTGCGGAAACCACGGGAAAGTGAGCGTAAATAATGAATACAAAGTCACAAGTATGAAACAACCAACTGCAAAGCTTTACAGTTCCTTTCATTAGGCAAATAAAGACCATACATACAGGTGGTGTCTCAGACATATTCTTTATCTCGTATAAAGTCAGCTCTGCACGGCACATTCGTGTCTGTTCACGGCAGTGACAGCAGAAGGAATGATGATACGGGCCTAGGAGCTTACCCAGTTGGTGCGCATGCGCAACGGGAGGTAACTCCGTAGGTGGGGGCCGTATAATAAATAAAAGAGTTTATTTATTGTACAATCTTTTTATTCAAAAAACATTAATACAACTGTCACAGGACATTTTCAGCTTGGAAAATGCATAATATGTACCCCAAGGACGATCTCTATGAAGAAGAATGTCATAGGCAAGCTGGCCAAGCAGATGAGCAGACGTCACACAAAGGGACGTAACTCTAATCTTTGAAGACCTGGACTGATACTGAATGCTCTAAGGCTCACTCAAAATGCAGGGTGTGTGATATAGGACTGGTTATTGCACCCCTTGGAATATGACCATCTCCATGGTGACTCTAACGCACATCACTGTTAGGCATGTGTCAATCATGGTACAAGACCCGTGAAGATCCAGGTTAGATTTGGCCTTCAGCAACCCAAGCAGCTAAGGGGATTGGGTGGTTAGACTCGATGACTTGGTTGAAACATGTCATCATATCCCAATTACGCAGATCGATGCTCATGATGTTGATCACTGGATTGTCTGGTCCAGACTCGATTGTTTACAGTGTCGCATTAAACAACAAACAAACCAAACAATCGAGGTAGACACAAAGCCAAAACCCTGTGAATGAATTCTTTTCATCCTTCACAAACTTTCATATTCTGGCAGTTCATGCACTGCATAGCAGTCTTCAAATAGTTCTGAGATTACTTGATGATTTCAATGTCTATGCATGAATCTTTCAACCATCACCTACTTGTATGGGTTGAGGTACTTGTGGTTGTATGTGACGACACAACTGAAGGCAGCTTTTTGTACAGACAGATCCTTGTGGTGGAGCAGCTGGAAACAGAAACAGACTTGGTTCTGTCTACAGATTACAGAATATGACGGTGAACATAGGGGTGAAACGGTACGCTCTTACCACGGTGCGGTACGTATTGCAGTAAAAGGAACTTACTTCCGGGAAAATAGCGGCCGTCTAGCGGACAAATGCATAGATTTTGACAAAGATGAATCGATTTCTAAATATTTTAGAAAAGGCTTTAAAAGGTTAATGAAATGATTTTACGAAAACCAAAAATGTTTTTGGGGGATTGCATTACTGTATACCGAACCAAAGGCAAAACGCCACGGTTCTACTAATACCGCGGTATACAGTTTCACCCCCACTGGAACAGCTCTTACAGCTCATACTTAGTCAGCTCTTACAGCTCATACTTAGTCAGCTCTTACAGCTCATACTTAGTCCGCTCTTACAGCTCATACTTAGTCAGCTCTTACAGCTCATACTAAGTCAGCTCTTACAGCTCATACTTAGTCAGCTCTTACAGCTCATACTTAGTCAGCTCTTACAGCTCATACTTAGTCCGCTCTTACAGCTCATACTTAGTCCGCTCTTACAGCTCATACTTAGTCAGCTCTTACAGCTCATACTTAGTCAGCTCTTACAGCTCATACTTAGTCAGCTCTTCCAGCTCATACTTAGTCAGCTCTTACAGCTCATACTTAGTCCGCTCTTACAGCTCATACTTAGTCAGCTCTTACAGCTCATACTTAGTCAGCTCTTACAGCTAATACTAAGTCAGCTCTTACAGCTCATACTTAGTCAGCTCTTACAGCTCATACTTAGTCAGCTCTTACAGCTCATACTTAGTCAGCTCTTACAGCTCATACTTAGTCAGCTCTTACAGCTCATACTTAGTCCGCTCTTACAGCTCATACTTAGTCAGCTCTTACAGCTCATACTAAGTCAGCTCTTACAGCTCATACTTAGTCAGCTCTTACAGCTCATACTTAGTCAGCTCTTACAGCTAATACTAAGTCAGCTCTTACAGCTCATACTTAGTCAGCTCTTACAGCTCATACTAAGTCAGCTCTTACAGCTCATACTAAGTCAGCTCTTACAGCTCATACTTAGTCAGCTCTCACAGCTCATACTTAGTCAGCTCTTACAGCTCATACTAAGTCAGCTCTTACAGCTCATACTAAGTCAGCTCTTACAGCTCATACTTAGTCAGCTCTCACAGCTCATACTTAGTCAGCTCTTACAGCTCATACTAAGTCAGCTCTTACAGATCATACTTAGTCAGCTCTTACAGCTCACACTTAGTCAGCTCTTACTTCAGTCTTGAGGCAGCGAGGACAATGTAGCCATGAGTGAGTAAGTGAGGAATGTTTTAAGCCTCATGGCAATAATCTATGGTAGGTTCAACATGGAGATACATACCTCCTGGTAGATGTTCCTCAGCTCCTGCTCTTTGGGCAGAGACTTGGGATTTCTTAACTTGGAGAAGACATGTAGGTGTGCCAGTAGTGATCTGAAACATCCAAACACGCAGAGACAGTTTGAAATGAATTGATAATTCTATTGCAACAGCATGTCAGATTGGCTCTCAAACTTAATGATTCACTTTCACTTTGCATCCAGCCTTCGATATACCACTCATAAGAAGCTTAGGACAACTGATTCTTCCATAATACTATAGTTCACCTGCCATGCCCCGATTCCACATAGTATATGTTTCATAGTCATTGGTGATGCACAGGTGTGTGGGTGCATCCATGTTTGACAGAGTGTTCACTTCAAACCACACATTCACAATTCAGCTGGTTCTTACAAGCATGGGATACTGAGCTCATAGTGTGAATTCATCCAATTTTCTTTTGTTCGTTGACGCAAATTGATACGATGTTGCTTTCTTACAGGTCACCAGAAAAAAGTTTGATGAAAGTGTTACCTGTAGGTAAGCCGACCCCCTTCTACAGGTTGCTTTTTTGGTCTTCAAAATTCAGCTTATCTATGGTAATATATGGTAGACGCAAAAAAAACCCCGCACCAATATACACTGAACATTGAATCTGAAGATTGAGTGAATGAATCAAAAGAGTTGAGTTTAGAATAGAATAGAATAGAATAGAATAATACTTTAATGCCTTTTCAGGAATTGGTGTTACAACAGCAGAGCTACTGACACATTAGAGAGATACCAAACAAATTTACATAAATTCTTTGATTTAGGCATCTTCACATTTGTTTAAGAGAGATATGGTACTTGGAATAAAGGATGTACGGGCTCTCTTAGTTTTCACAATTGGAACTTTGTATCGGCGGCCTGAAGGGAGAAGGTTGTATTCCGAATTTAAGTAGTGAGTATGGTCAGATATGATTTTGACAGCTTGATTCACGATTTGCCACTCATATATTGATGATAAACATTGAAATCTGACTCCAGCGATTTTACTTGCAGTGTTAACAATTTTGTCTATTTTTTAACGACTCCAGCACAGAAGTTATGGTAGACGCAAAAAAAAACCCGCACCAATATACACTGAACATTGAATCTGAAGATTGAGTGAACGAATCAAAAGAGTTGAGTTTAACGACTCCAGCACAGAATTTGCAGTGCTTTAGAATACTAGATCTGATTAAACTGACTGAGTATGGTTTTATGCCGTTTTTAGCAATATTCCAGCAATATCACGGCAGGGGACACCAGACATGGGCTTCACAAAGATCTGATTAAATATCACTCCTAAGTCATAATTCAGTTTCAAAGAATCACAGAAGAAATATAACAATGATGTCACTGAACAATTCCTAGAGTGAGTGCGTTTAGTTTTACACCACTTTGAGCAATATTCCAGCAATATCATGGCGGGGACACCACAAATGGGCTTTACACATTGTACCTATGTGGGGAAAAGACCCCGAGTCTTCGGCGTGACGAGTGAATGCTTTAACCACTAGGCTGCCCCACAATTCCTAGACACTGAGCTTAAAGAATGAGGAAAACCTAGATACATAACCCATGCTTGTCGTAAGAGGCAACTAACAGGATCGGGGGGTCAGGCTTGCTGACTTGGTTGACACATGTCATCGGTTCCCAATTACGCATATCGATGCTCATGCTGTTGATCACTGGATTGTCTGGTCCAGACTCGATTATTTACAGACCGCTGCCATATAGCTGGAATATTGCTGAGTGTGGCGTACAACTAAACTCTCTCACTCACTCATTACATTTCAGGTGTACCAAGGGCATGTAACTCTGCACAGCAACAAAGACAACTTAACCAAACCTGCAGAGGTTTTCAATTCTTTGAAGAGAGTCGTCCTTGGGGTACATATTATGCATTTTCCGGCTGAAAAATGTCCTGTGACAGTTGTATCAATGTTTTTTGAATAAAAAGATTGTACAATAAATAAACTCTTTTATTTATTATACGGACCCTACCTCACGGAGTTACCTCCCTTAGCGCATGCGCACCAACTGGGTAGGCTCCTAGACCCGTATCATCATTCCTTCTGCTGAATTCTTATCAGTGAACAGAATTGCGGGGGAGGTGGGAGGCCCTACCCCAAGGGCGACTCTCTTCAAAGAATTGAAAACCTCTGCAGGTTTGGTTAATTCTTTTCAGAAGATCGTCCTTGGGGTACATATTATGCATAAACACAGACTCCCAAAGACCCGGAGGCCAGGGAGGAGGAATTCTGTCCAAGCACACTCAAAATATAGCGATCATTATCATGGAAAAAAAAATTGAACAGGCGCCATAACACTCACCTGTCACTCAACCCAGTTTAAGCTTCATGAGGCATTATGGGAGGGAACTGACAGGGAGGATTTGTGCTCAAAGGCGACCTCTAGCATAATGAGACATTGCGCGTAGTGCGAATATCAACGAAATCCGACCCACTAAGTGGCTTCTTTCATGAGAGCACCGTGGGGGAAAACAAAAATACCACTCACTAACGATACAGTAACTCCGTGAAGAATCGAAGGGGTACAGGTTCTCTGAGTGAGCACACATTAGCAGACATGTCAATAATGGAATCTTATTGTACAGTAGCGTCAAAACAAACCAATAAACCAAGACTCACTTTCGGTCAGGGTGGCAGGACACTGTCGACTGGAGAGAACAGTACGGCCAAAGTTTGCACGATTACGGGGAATGCGTGTCGAGCTGATAATGGCGATATAAGCGTGCTTGGCGGCTCCAAATAGCGGCGAGCAGATCTCTTCAATGGGGAGTGCCGATGCAAAAGCTTTTGATGCGGCTACTGCCCTGACCCGAGTGAGCCTTCAACCCCTCAGGGGAGGCTTGCCCTTAGCCTGATAAGCGGCACAAATACGATACTAGCCAGCGAGACAAAGTCTGCTTGCTCGCTGGCGAACCAGCCTTCCCGCCACCGTAACAACAGAACAGCTGGGTACCGTGCGGATCCCCTGCGTTCGTTTGAGATAGACTTTGGCGTCTTCACGGACATCCAGCGGAGAGTGCTCGTAGGAGTGGTCCCGATGTGGAAGGCTGGGTAAGAGTAGGAAGTTCGATAGGAGCTGTCACATGGAAGCGTGATCGACCTTCGGTCGGTAAAGTATCTGGGGCCGAAATACTGACACGATCCGTGTGAAACACAGTCAGCGCCGGGTCGGACTGACATAGCATGTAAATCGCCGACCCTTCGACCAGATGTTACCGCCACCAGAAAAACAGCTTTCCAGGTCAACAACTGAATGGAAATAGCCGATAGGTGTGAGAAAGTGGGACGGACAGCCAATCGAACACGATCGACAAATCCCAAAGGTGGACTGGTTAGCCTGAGAGCAGGTCGAATCCGTTCAGCGCCAGCGAAAGCTATGCGAGAGGGTGCTGCCCCAGAAGAGCACCATCGACAGGGGTGTGAAAAGTGGAAATAGCGGTGGAGTAGCGCGCTGAATGGTCGAAGCCGCCAGGCCTTCTTCCAAAGCGAGCTTGCAAAAACTCCAATACTGGGACTAAATCCGCCCAGAAAGGGATCTGCAATCCCCTTATCTGAACACCAGCGGCGCATAAGCGGGACCACCTATCCTCGTACTGAGCGTTTGTCGAATCCGCCTCGAAGCCAGAATTGTGTCTGCAACTGCTGCAGGAATTCCAGCGTGCCTCGAGGTTAGACCTGACAGAGGCCAAGCCACCCACTGAATCCGTGGATTTGGTTGGGGCGCTCCGTTCTGAGTGAGAATGTCCGGTCGCCAAAGGTAATAGAACAGGAGGCTGAGCCAGAAACCTGAGAATTACCGAAACCAGCTCTGTGATGACCAAAGCGGTGCCAGTAGCACAAGTAGCCGAGCTGGCTGGGTGGACAGCTGTGAAAGGACACGGGAATGAGTGGTAATGGCGGGACGCCCAGAGCACTTTGCCCGTCCAATCCAGCAGGAAGGCGTGCGGCAGCCAACGCCCTGGGTCGGTATCCGAGAGCAGAACATCGGGTGTCTGATCGTCCCGCCCGGACGCAAACAGATCCACCTCGAACGACCCGTACAACTGGGAGATTACTGTGAATATCTGCCTGTCGAGCATCCACTCGTGCGGGGCCAGGATCCGGCGAGAGAGCGCATCTGCTCGCACGTTCTCCAGCCCGGAGATAAACAGGGAGTACCTGACAATGCGTACTGGTCGCTCCAGAGGAGAAAGTCCCACGCTTCCCGAGGAGCGCTGGGACACCGTGCCTCCCTGCTTCAGGATGTGCGACATATGCGACTGAAGAGCGGACTACCTGGCCGCGGACATGCTCTCTGAAGCCGAATACCAACAGCACAGCTCTCAGTTCCAACACGTTGATGTGAAGGTGAGCTTCGCTTCGGACCAGAGTCCGGAAGCCGACAGACTGCCCAGAACGCCCCCCCAGCCCGTGAGGGACGCATCTGTCTGAACTGTGAGAGCTGGCGTCGGGATTTCCAAGGGGAACCCCCTGGTGAGATTCCCGACAGTTGTCCACCACTGAAGGTGAGGTGTCAACCACTTTCGGGGACTGTGAGACTGCGCTCCAGATCCTCCGTGTGAGTCCACAGCCGAGCCAAAGCTTGCTGTATGGGACGCATCCTCAACAGCGCCCGCCACACTACAGAGATGTCGTTAAGCGCCATATGGCCCAGTAGAGCGGAGCCAAGTCCGTGCTGGTGCCTGGGGCTGGGAGAGGAATGAAGAGACCATCTCCCGAACTCTGGTGACCCGGTCGGGCGACAAAGGAAACGAGATCCTTGTTCGTTTGGAATCGCTCCAAAGAAAAACCAAGTCCTGGGTGGGTACCAGGTCGGATTTCTTGAGGTTGATGATCCACCCCAGTCGAGTTAGAATGTCTATCACTGTGTGAGTAGCATCTTGACTTCGCTGGCTGTGTTAGTGCTCCGAGCAACCAGTGTCGTCTAGGTAAGGGTAACAACGCCTTCGCTGCGGCGAGCTAGGGTAGCTGGGACTAACATGAGCTTGGTGAACACCCTTGGGGCAGTCGATATGCGAAGGGGAGCACCCTGAATTGGTAATACATCCCGTCGTGAAGAGAACCGAAGGTACTGCTTGAACGATGGATGTATGGGTACATGCAGATATCGCGCATCCTTTAGGTCGATTGGCGTGAGCCAATCGCCGGGCTGAACAGATGAGATCACCGGCGCAGTGTCTCCATCTTGAAGGATGGTACTTGAGCAGCATGCGATTCAACCCCTTGAGGTTGAGAATCGGGACGGAACCCGCCGTCTTTCTTCGGAGACGAGGAAATGCGTGGAATAAAATCCCGCCTGTTCCTCTCCCCGGTGGAATGCGCTTCGATTGCGGACTTGTCCAGCAGAGCCTGAACTTCGTCAGCGCAATATGTCCGCCCTGGCTTGACATGGCGGCACCGGAGTCGACGTATGCCGTGAAGTCGGGCGGACCTGGCAGCTTCCACAGTGGGAGATGGCCTATGCTGACCGTGGCCAGCACCCAAAGCGTTGTTGGTAGCCTTCTCCCATTCCGGCAGGAATAGAGAGGCGGCCTCCCACTGGGATATGGGGTAGGAGCGGCGTGTGTAGACCCGAGTAGCGGAGCTGACTGGGCGTGACACCGCGGCTTGGCGGCAGCCTGATGGGTTAACGGGAGGTTGGGGCAGACCTCCAGCGCCAGCAAAGGCTGGGAGCTAGTCGAGGACTGCTCCTTGCCCCTACCCTTGGCGGACCTGTTCCTCCGCCTACCTACCAAGCGGCGAAGCCAGCCCGGCAGACTTCGGTGTAGGCTGCACCCGGCGGAAGGAAGGTGGCGCGGGGCCTTGAGGCGAGACACCCTTGGGTGCTCCAACAAGGCCTTAGAGTCCTTGAAGGAGGTAGCTGCAGCGGCAGCCTCCCGTATGACCTGCTGGGCCCCTGGAAAGAGGGTCGGCTCCCAGGCGGAAAGGGAGGGCCAGCAAGGTCTGCTGTGTTGCTGCCGAGTACCTAGGCGTCGACAGCCACAGCCTGCGCATCCCCATGACTGCGCACATCACCGTCGGCGCAGCAGACGCAAAGAGTCGCTACGAGGTGAGCCTGCACTTCCGGCTGACGAGCAGCACGACATGCGGCGACATCGTCGCCAGCATGCCCCTCCGCCTCAGGGCCGACCTCTGAACCGAGGAGAGGTAGGCCTCATGGACCACCACCGCACCTGCTGCATCGGCGTTCCGGTGGACCTCCTCGTAGGTCGATGCAGCGTGCCGCAGAGGGCGCACGCAGGTGAGGGCAAAAGGTGGAGTTAGGCCCTTGCCGAGCAGCGGAGCTGCTCCGAGGAAGCCGAGCCTCCCCAGGGCGGCGGAAGTGAAAACACATTCGTCAACAATTGGTACAACGAACAGGGAATCCTCCCCAAGCTGGTAGCGCCGCCGCGAGTTCAGGTAAGTCAAACCTTACTTTCGGGCACCAGACAAGAGGGGATCGACCACGTCCGAGACCAACGATGGCAGAATGCGGAGCTGCGTCTGTGAGGGTTGCCTAGGGGCAAAAGCGCCTCGCCAGGCAAGCGGAACTCAGTCGAGTCCACGCAACCAGCAGGCACCGCGGCCTGGGGTAGGCCCTCGGCAATTCTCTGCCGGACCTCCCGCAAGGCCGAAGCAAAACGGAAGCCGCCGTCAGGCTCCTCGACCTCCCCAAGCTCCATTGCCTCGGCGTCCGAGCCCGAGTCAGAGGCTGGGTCTCCTCCGTAAGAGGACCCTAACCCCGACCCGGTGGACTGCCTAACGCTAGGAACCACAGGAAGGGAAGAACAGACAGACTGCTCCACGTCAGCGCCAGCCGGCGATCCCACCCCCGGACTCTCCGCCCCCCGTCCGGAGTGGGTGAGGAACTCCTGCCGGAGACCTCCAACCGACTCACGAACGAAGGACTTCATCGAGTCCATCTGCTGCTGAAACATAGACTCCATCAGTGACATGTCAAAACCACTCGAAGTGGCAGGAGAGGGGGAAGGGCCACGGGATTTTTTTCCCTTTTGACACACGCGTTTGGACTTAGACGGGGGAACCTGCGTCAGGTCCCCTCCCGCCTCACGCATTTCGCGATAGAACAAGGTGTCGGCAGCCCGCCTCTTCTGGGCCCGGGGGGAAAAGGCCAGACAAATAGGGCAGGAGTCAGCCTCATGACTGGTATGACTGTCGGCCCGGGGGATACTCCCCTCACAGACCGAACAGCATGAAAAGGCCTGAAACAAACACGCAACGTGTTAGTGAACGGCGGCCAGCAGCATATAAACACGTAGAAAACATTGAAAAACTACGTGAAGGTTACCACGGAAAGTAATAGTTGGTTTTAATACGCAATATTACGACCACATGGCACGCTAAACTTCCCGCCATGGCAGAGCAACACGTGCGTAACCACGGGAAAGTTCGCGTATTTTGTATTAATACAAAGTCACAATTATGAAACAACCAACTGTAAAGCTTTACTGTTCTTGTTTTAGACAAATAAAGACCATACATACAGGTGGTGTCTCAGACATAGTCTCTTTTAACAGCGCCGTACGGCTCATGAATGGGTTACTCAAAACACGTCTGTTCACGGCCGTGACAGCAGAAGGAATGATGATACGGGTCTAGGAGCCTACCCAGTTGGTGCGCATGCGCTAAGGGAGGTAACTCCGTGAGGTAGGGTCCGTATAATAAATAAAAGAGTTTATTTATTGTACAATCTTTTTATTCAAAAAACATTGATACAACTGTCACAGGACATTTTTCAGCCGGAAAATGCATAATATGTACCCCAAGGACGATCTCTCTGAAAAAGAATGGGTCATTCCTGACATCTATTCAACACATGACATCAACAAAACATGATTCCATGTGACTGGCAGCAAACTTGGTAACTTACGGAATAATTCCCTTCCGTCTCTTTTTCTTCTTGGAATATTTGCTCCTTTGGTCAGATGGTTCTTCTTTTGTCTCATCCTCCTCATCCTCGTCTTCAAACTCAGACTGGTCGGCCTGACCATGTTTGATGGAAATGTCCTCTGTCGGGGCGGAGTTCATGTCTCGTCTATGGTACTCCTCACTGTGAACAAGTGGAAACATGTTCAGGTTTATGACAATGTGACTGACAGCATTCATTACTAAATAATTGAACCTTCATTATACCTAATTTCTACAGCAGGCCACTCTAAAGAACATATACAAAAATACAATAAATGAATAAATCGAATAATTTTCTCATGAAATTGAAAAAGATTACCTTATTATATTATTTATTAACTTAAGTAGCTTTTGTAACATGACCTAAACAAACATACAAGGAAAGAAACGTCCTGTGTAGGTTAGAAGGAAAAAAACAAATTGAGTTTGCGCACTGGGTTTTATCTAAAGGAGAACATTATTTCAGTTCTATAACAGCATATCAACTATTATGGGAGGACAGTGATGCCAGTAGGCAGACAGTACAAACAACTTTACAGTGCTGACAAATCACAGCATGGTTTGGAGCACCAAAGGGACACAACTCTGTGCAGCAGATTGTGAAACTTCTCACAATTAAAGTACTGTCGGAAATAGAAAAAAACTGTTTTTAGGCTGTTACTCTGTATCCCTAAAATATACACAATTGCAAATAGCATATGTCGAAATAACCCACTTCGGCCTAACTTGGCATTCAGCGGGATGCGTAATAGGATATCCAGAAAAGCATGTTTACTCGTAAAATCGGGCAAAACTTAGAAAAAAAAGGAATAGCCGCTGAAAACAATAGATCAGACTATAGTTGGCAATTAGGTCGCTCAGCCAGGTATGACGACAGACCGTCGACTCACCTGGCATGAAATGCATGTGCTGCCTACAGGCACAAGTGTTCATCTCAAAGATATTTTGTGCTTTTTCATGTGTGTTGACTATGCCTCAACTATTGATTAACATCTTACGTGTTTCTTTCATAAAGTTTATGTTGAGATATGTAAAAGAGTATGTAACCTGATAACCATAGAAACGCATCGTACTAAATGTCTCAAAATATATAGGTGGCATGACCACCCAATCGCGAAGATCGACAGGGCTGGATATTATTTGTAAATTGTTATGACATGCCGTGTACTTCCCCAGGATAATTGCCCTAAAGGATTATCTTATCTTAGCTGATATCTCTATCCCCCAGCCCGACCCCAACGATCGTCTGCGACACCAGTCCAGGTTTTGCTTTTGAGACGAACCCTCTTATCTGTTTCTTTTTATAGTGACAATGAGACTCAATGGTAGCTACATCCTTAATAGTTTCAGCACGAAAGTTATTATTTTTTACGCCAGCTATCGTTTATAATGAAGCTACATCTAATTTCAAATTGGGCATTTAAAAAGTGTCCTTTGTAATACAATATCGTCGCACACTAATTTGCATAAAGCCATGGTCCGTTCCAAATACATCGTTTTGGACTTAGGAAAATCCGCATTGCTCATTTCTGCACTAATCTCTCCTCAGTAAAGTCCTTTTTCTACGTTTCCTATGTTCCTACCACTGAGACTGTAGTTAGGCCGAACCTAGTTTAACAGATATTTCACACTTGCACATATCAACTACATAAATTGTAGAGATAAATGAAAAAATACAGTTTTTTTCTATTTCCGACAGTACTTTAGGTCCGCTTGAGTCCCCTTCCCAATCGAAAATGTAACATCTGTGGCAATTAGAAGCAATTGGCAACAGAAAAACCATTACTTTCCGTCTTGTCATACAATTTTCTACAATATCCTTACTTGTACAATAGAATTAAAAGACTAAATTGTTTTTGTTATTTTCTCACCTGAGAAACTTCAAGAAGATGGGTACGATGAGCTTCCCCCTTGCCTCACACTTGTCTGGGAACAACTCCATCGCCCGCCATAGCTGTAGTCTCAGGTTGATATGATCCGCCACGCCAGTGCGGTTACTCTGGTGTCTATGGCAACTGGTGTATATTTCACTCACAGCTGTCACATCCACCATCAAACTGACATCCCGTGTGACAGACTGACTAGATACTGATGAGCTGTCGTTCGCTAGAAAATAAAACAGTGATCAGCTTGAAGGTTATAACAAGCAAATCAGTTTCAAGACTACTCTCGAGAAACTGTGAGTTTGTTTATCAAAACTACTGTTCTAGTAATGAGTGGTTATAAACTTGTATACATTTACTGACATGCAATACGTGTGTGTGTACTGGGTTTATGCAGTTATTAAGTCATGTCCCTCCATGCTAATGAAAGTAATCTCTGCCAAGAATGACACAGGTAAAAGACATTAAGCACTGAAACAGGCACAGTCATGAAGCTGACAAAGTGAGTGAGCGAGTGAGTTTAGTTTTACGCCGCTTTTAGCAATATTCCAGCAATATCATGTCGGGGGACACCAGAAATGGGCTTCACACATTGTACCCATGTGGGGAATCGAACCCGGTCTTCGGCGTGACAAGCGAATGTTTTAACCGCTAGGCTAAGCCACCGCCCCATGAAACTGACAAACCGATTTAGAGCCAAACTGCACTGAGGGCAATAATTCTACACTTCAATCGTGTCAAAGCACTTCAAACAAGTCACCAATGTCTAAAGTGCAAAGGTTTCTAAGAGAGTGAGTTCAACAACAAACAAACAGCAAAAACACATTTATCAGGATGCCAAAACACTTCTTTAAAAATTCACGAGTACATTTGTTTTCACACATCCAGCATATTTCAGCAATATCACTGCACTAATGTTGGAAATGAAATACAGGCATTTGGCATGATTGGCCAACATTTAACTGTTGGGCTATCCCATCTCCAGCCATTTTATGAACATGACATTCTCAGTCTACAGTGTTACAGTGCTGGTATTGGCATACAACATCACGATACTAAAATTGTAGTCATGATGATATATTGCCAAAGTATTGTGTACTGAAGCTGCGATACAATACGAATCCCGATATAAGGGTGGCAATATGATACGTATCACGATACTAAAATCTTTAATTCTATAAAAGCATTTCGTCAGATTCCTCCAGCGTTTTCAATGTTCATTCGGAAACAAGATAATTAAGTTTATACATGGACTTCGTGAATGTTAATAACATGAGAGCACTATGTCTGACACAGTTCTTGACACAAGAATTTCCGAGAAATCGTTTGCTTATAAAGGGAAAATAAGTAAGCATATATTTTAATCATCAAACAAAAGTAGGTTTTTTTTCTTGACAGATATCGCGATTCGGCAATATTCCAAGTTAAACATCGATTTATCGTGGCCCATTTGAAGTATCGTATCGGGATATACAATATAAAACTTTGTATCGATTCAATGTATCGGAGGGCCATGGATCGATGCATCGATGCGCATCGATGAATCGTCACATCACTACAGTGTTAGAGTATATATCTACCTGCTCGTTCTGCTGCAAGCTGGAGCTGGTCCCCCATGACTGACCAGAAGACGTCCTGCTCCATACCCACAGCGTAACCCTTGACCAGCTCTCGAACTGGCTCCCACATCAGCTTGAAGTTGACATACAGACTGCCCAGCAGGTAGTACAGGGGCACCTGAAGCAGAGACTCTTACTGTAACCATGGAACATGCAGGACATACAGACTGCCTAGGAGGCAGTACAGGGGCACCTGAAGCAGAGACTCTTACTGTAACCATGGTAACATGCAGGACATACAGACTGCCCAGCAGGTAGTACAGGGGTACCTGAAGCAGAGATTCTCGCAGTAACCATGGTAACATGCAGGATATACAAACTGCCCAGCAGGTAGTACAGGGGCACCTGAAGCAGAGACTCTTACTGTTACCATAGTAACATGCAGGGCATACAGACTGCCTAGGAGGTAGTACAGGGGCACCTGAAGCAGAGACTCTTACTGTAACCATGGTAACATGCAGGACATACAAACTGCCTAGGAGGTAGTACAGGGGCACCTGAAGCAGAGACTCTTGCTGTAACCATGGTAACATGCAGGACATACAGACTGCCCAGGTAGTACAGGGGCACCTGAAGCAGAGACTCTTACTGTAACCATGGTAACATGCAGGATGTACAGACAGCCCAGCAAGTAGTACAAGGCACTTGAAGCAGAGACTCTTACTGTAACCATGGTAGTATGCAGGACATACAGACTGCCCAGCAGGTAGTACAGGGGCACCTGAAGCAGAGTCTCTTACTGTAACCATGGTAACATGCAGGATGTACAGACGGCCCAGCAAGTAGTACAAGGCACTTGAAGCAGATAATCTTACTTTAACCATGGCAACATGCAGATTATACATACTGTCTCTAGAACTACACTACAGAAATAGCCTCTGTAACCTTGGCTATATCTACACAGACATAGGGGCAGTATAGTAAACATCATGACCATTAAGGGAGTGACAGGTAGAATTAGAGAAGTAACTTCTGAAGGGATCACAGCTAGTTCATAGAATAATCTCCCAAAGAAATTGGAACTGCCTGACATAATTCTTTTAGAATTTTTACATCTCCCAAGTGTTCATAACTTCTATTTCTGCGTACTTTCATTTCAAGTCCAACCATACACCACGATCTTGAAGACAATTGACAAACCCAGTGGAAGCACAAGCAGGAATCAGGAACAAATGCAGGAATGAAGAATTCAAACATGAATGAGGGGTTCTAGGGCTCAAGTGGTCTGATGGGTCACTCACCTTTTCAAAAGGCCCGATGGGTATATTCGGCTGTACAAGTTTGTAATCTAGCTTCCGCAGATGTCGAAGTCTCTCCCTGTAGTTGTAGACATTGATGTCAACTCTCTCCGCAGCCTGACAGATGTCAAACACTCCCAACTGTTCCGTGTCCTGAAAACAACTGGCTGGATAACAGAAGCAATGTGGGCGAACTCCTCACATAGGTCACTCAGTGACACAGGAGCCTGTTATGTTGTGGTGTTGTCATAGTGTCACCTCATTTGAAAAACTAAGCATGAGTGAGTTTAGTCTTATGCCGCTTTTAGCAATATTCCAGCAATATCATGGCGAGGGACACCAGAAATGAGCTTCACACTTTGACCCATGTGGGGAATCAAACCCGGGTCTTCAGCCTGACGAGCAAACACTTTTCCACTAGGTTAACCCACCGCCTCTTTAGAGCCATGAGCACTATTTAAAGAGTTCTGGGTTGTTAATCCACATAATCAGAAATTAACATCATGACTCTGTGGACTGAAACATACTATAATGAAACACTAAAACAATCAATGTGAGAGTCAGTCGCGTGAAGATGTCACTGGGTGAGTGAGTGAGTGAGCTAAAGTTTAACGTCACATCAGCAATATTGCAGCCATATCGTGACGAGAACAGTTGATATCAATAGGCAAATCAATAAATGTATAACGTAAAAATCTGTCATCGATAGACAGTAAAACAACTAGAATATCACAGATATACATGTAAAACTAGTAATTAAGTCTAAAACATTCTAACTATAGGGGACAGTACAATATAAAACAGGCTATAGATCGCCAACAACTGAAGGTAGATCACCGTACTAGGGACCATGGGGACTTGCAGTACTTTTGCTACCTGCATGGACCCTAGTTGGATTTATATCATCCCTCCAGCCGCTGGCGATTGAAGTCAAATTTAGCCAAAATTAAAATGACAAGAATACTACATTTAAAACAGATGGTAAATTTAAATTTCATTCGAATGTTTCGGGACTTACATACCTTCTCAGGAGGACAATAATTTTACGAGATGTCACTGGGATCAGAATCCATTGCAATGCCAACAATAAAGCCTACCGACCAACCTGTTACCTTGAGTAAGCAACAATGTCATACCTGTTCTTCCACTGGTGGTAAATCTACAGGGAACAGTGACAGGGTATGAACCGAGAGGAGACGAACCTGAAATACAACAAGAACATATGAGTCACTTCATGAAACAAACTTTCTGTAACTTCCTCACAGCACTAATCGGAACAACTGTAGCCACACAGATGTCACTGAAAGGATTCTTCCCAACTGTGGGCTTGCCTCCATGGAAGAAGCAACAGCCCAGAAAGCAGAATGTCTGTGATGTCTGTGCCCATAGTGCCCATCACACCAAAAAAGGCCTACTTCCTGGTCAGCATTAAGGGGATAAGATAAGGACATGTATCCTCGAGGTCAGTATATATGTGTCTGAGTTGGGTATCCATGTTCACCTAAATGTGCATGAACATTTTTATAAGTAAGTGCAAAAATCTTGAACGTGTTTTAACAAATTTCACTATGAAATTGTCGTCAAAGCTAAGAAGTAGTGGGCAAAATGAGGAAAATATAGAAATTGGAGAACACAACTGTTCTGGTGCTGATCTTAGAATGGCAACATCTTAGATGACAAACACAGGCTGGAGGTATTAAACTGATTCTTACTTGACTTGACCATGATGCCAGGTTGACTTGTAACAAGGGAAGTAACTCCAACAAACATTCCTGTGACACAATGTCGTCCCGAAGGTCAAGGGCACACTGACTCAAATACAAATTGACCATTTTGAGAACATTCCCATGGGTTGGGTGTTTCCTGAAACAGAAAACGTTTCATTATGATATAAACTAACAATTCTAAATGTGAGTGTTACAAACACAAAGATTAATAACAGACACACCTGCAACCCACATAGAGAATCCTCTGAATATTATACAGGCATTAGATCCCATCTCATTTTGACCAGATCAGTTACTCCAAGAAGATACCTCTCTGCAAGATAATAAACCATCTACAATGTGAACAGGGGTAGCATTTGCTGAACTTTGACTGACAGGGGGGAGGTGAGGTTGCCAAGTTATTAAAGTGTTCGATTCCCTACATGTGTATCAAGCGTGAAGCCCATTTCCGGTGTCTCCCGCCATGATATTGCTGGAATACTGCTAAATGCTGCATGAAACCAAACTCACTTACTGACAATGCTGAATGTTGGGTATTTATATATTTTAACACAATGATGCAGTTTCAGACATGGATTCAGGCATTCAGGCTGCCATCATGAGGTGAGGTGAGGTGAGGTGAAATTGGGTTTAACGTCGTACTTGAGAATATTTCACTCATATGACGACGTGCATGCGTGTGTATGTGTATGTGCGGCTGCTTGTACTAGCCCAGACTTAAGCTGGTTTTATAGTGCTAGCCCACTGAGATACCATGCCGCAGTGAAGCATGAATACCCCACTCAGATACATTATACTGACTCCAAGCCGACCAGTCCTTATTGTACCCACTAATGCCGAACGCCAGACAGGGACCAACAAGTACCATATTTTAACGTCTTTTGGTATGACGTTGATCGGGGAATGAACCCGCGACCTTCCGCTCACCGGGCGGACGCTCTTACCACTACACCACGGAGGCGGTCGCCATCATAAGGAGGCAAAGCACTCAAATATCATATGCACGGACATTTCATATATTACTTAAAATATGATAAAGACACATGTTTCCTACTGCTATAGTTAATATGTGATGCAGATTGGTCACGTTAACTACAACATCCTGTCCACTATAACAGATTGACTGGAGCAGCATGAACAATCAGATGTCCTTAACTTCTTTCGGGTTGTATATGACCGTTGCCTGTCAGAGTTAAAGGCACAGAGTAACATGGATCTTGTTGTTTTGTAAACTTAGGTCACACATCATGTCGCTGAACCAACCTGAGTAGAGTCTTCAGTTCTTCCCATGCGAGCCAAGAATAAATCTGTGAGTCTTCATTCATGAGTATCATTGTCATAATGACCTGCTCCATGACAAAAAGTAGGCTATCTGGAATAGAGGGAAAGGCAATTGTGTAGTTAAGATCAGCATGCACAGTATATTCATTTATGGGAGTGAGCTTAGTTTTACGCCGCTTTTAGCAATATTCCAGCAATATCACGGCAATGGACACCAGAAATAGGCTTCACACATTTTACCCATGTGGGGAATTGAACCCGGATCTTCGACATGACGAGTGAAAGCTTTAACCACTAGGCTACCCCACCACCCTATTAATCTATGTGGGGCGGTGGGGTAGCCTAGTGTTTAAAGTGTTGGCTCGTCACGCCAAACACCCGGGTTCGAATCCCCACATGGGTACAATGTGTGAAACCCATTTCTGGTGTCCCCCGCCGTGATGTTGCTGGAATATTGCTAAAAGCAGCGTAAAACCAAACTCAGTCAGTCAGTATTCATCTATGTAATCAAACAGCATGATATTTTTACCTATGTCTTTCTTAATTTATATCAATATTTGTAAGAGGACTTTGTTTAAATATCCTTGGCAGTTACATCTGTAGCCATTCTGGCAATCACAAAGAAAACAAGTGTTTGCCACTGATATGGCAATGTCCCCCGCTGCTAAAGAATGGAATATCTATATTATATATATGGAACTATCACTGTTTGACGTGAGATAGCTTACATATTTTAATACAGAGTCAGATACCTGCACTTTATTATTTTTAATTCCGATTTGTGAATGCATCATGCCTAGGGGTACTGTATCAATGCAATATCACCATAACTGACACAACAAACAATTATTGCAACTGGAACTGATATAGCCAAAACCATGCCCCAATCACACCCTCTACTCTCCTTTCTGGTCCAGACTCGATTATTTACAGACCGAAGCCATATAGATGGAATATTGCTGAGTGCAGCATAAAACTAAACTCACTCACTCACTCTAGTCTACTTACTTCTACAGGCAGAGTCATCTTCAGCAGCCTCTCTCTGCAGCAGCAGCGACCACACCGTCTTCATCTTCTCCACAGCAGTATCTCGGTCCATTGGACTGTTCACAGGAGGGACATATCCATTAGTTTGATACTTACAGTCCACACGGTACAAGGTTTGTTGTTGGACTGTTCACAGGAGGGACATATCCATTAGTTTGATACTTACAGTCCACACGGTACAAGGTTTGTTGTTGGACTGTTCACAGGAGGGACATATCCATTAGTTTGATACTTACAGTCCACACGGTACAAGGTTTGTTGTTGGACTGTTCACAGGAGGGACATATCCATTAGTTTGATACTTACAGTCCACACGGTACAAGGTTTGTTGTTGGACTGTTCACAGGAGGGACATATCCATTAGTTTGATACTTACAGTCCACACGGTACAAGGTTTGTTGTTGGACTGTTCACAGGAGGGACATATCCATTAGTTTGATACTTACAGTCCACACGGTACAAGGTTTGTTGTTGGACTGTTCACAGGAGGGACATATCCATTAGTTTGATACTTACAGTCCACACGGTACAAGGTTTGTTGTTGGACTGTTCACAGGAGGGACATATCCATTAGTTTGATACTTACAGTCCACACGGTACAAGGTTTGTTGTTGGACTGTTCACAGGAGGGACATATCCATTAGTTTGATACTTACAGTCCACACGGTACAAGGTTTGTTGTTGGACTGTTCACAGGAGGGACATATCCATTAGTTTGATACTTACAGTCCACACGGTACAAGGTTTGTTGTTGGACTGTTCACAGGAGGGACATATCCATTAGTTTGATACTTACAGCCCACACGGTACAAGGTTTGTTGTTGGACTGTTCACAGGAGGGACATATCCATTAGTTTGATACTTACAGCCCACACGGTACAAGGTTTGTTGTTGGACTGTTCACAGGAGGGACATATCCATTAGTTTGATACTTACAGCCCACACGGTACAAGGTTTGTTGTTGGACTGTTCACAGGAGGACATATCCATTAGTTTGATACTTACAGCCCACACGGGTACAAGGTTTGTTGTTGGACTGTTCACAGGAGGGACATATCCATTAGTTTGATACTTACAGTCCACACGGTACAAGGTTTGTTGTTGGACTGTTCACAGGAGGGACATATCCATTAGTTTGATACTTACAGTCCACACGGTACAAGGTTTGTTGTTGGACTGTTCACAGGAGGGACATATCCATTAGTTTGATACTTACAGTCCACACGGTACAAGGTTTGTTGTTGGACTGTTCACAGGAGGGACATATCCATTAGTTTGATACTTTACAGTCCACACGGTACAAGGTTTGTTGTTGGACTGTTCACAGGAGGGACATATCCATTAGTTTGATACTTACAGTCCACACGGTACAAGGTTTGTTGTTGGACTGTTCACAGGAGGGACATATCCATTAGTTTGATACTTACAGCCCACACGGTACAAGGTTTGTTGTTGGACTGTTCACAGGAGGGACATATCCATTAGTTTGATACTTACAGCCCACACGGTACAAGGTTTGTTGTTGGACTGTTCACAGGAGGACATATCCATTAGTTTGATACTTACAGCCCACACGGTACAAGGTTTGTTGTTGGACTGTTCACAGGAGGGACATATCCATTAGTTTGATACTTACAGTCCACACGGTACAAGGTTTGTTGTTGGACTGTTCACAGGAGGGACATATCCATTAGTTTGATACTTACAGCCCACACGGTACAAGGTTTGTTGTTGGACTGTTCACAGGAGGGACATATCCATTAGTTTGATACTTACAGTCCACACGGTACAAGGTTTGTTGTTGGACTGTTCACAGGAGGGACATATCCATTAGTTTGATACTTACAGTCCACACGGGTACAAGGTTTGTTGTTGGACTGTTCACAGGAGGGACATATCCATTAGTTTGATACTTACAGTCCACACGGTACAAGGTTTGTTGTTGGACTGTTCACAGGAGGGACATATCCATTAGTTTGATACTTACAGCCCACACGTACAAGGTTTGTTGTTGGACTGTTCACAGGAGGGACATATCCATTAGTTTGATACTTACAGTCCACACGGTACAAGGTTTGTTGTTGGACTGTTCACAGGAGGGACATATCCATTAGTTTGATACTTACAGTCCACACGGTACAAGGTTTGTTGTTGGACTGTTCACAGGAGGAGGGACATATCCATTAGTTTGATACTTACAGTCCACACGGTACAAGGTTTGTTGTTGGACTGTTCACAGGAGGGACATATCCATTAGTTTGATACTTACAGTCCACACGGTACAAGGTTTGTTGTTGGACTGTTCACAGGAGGGACATATCCATTAGTTTGATACTTACAGCCCACACGGTACAAGGTTTGTTGTTGGACTGTTCACAGGAGGACATATCCATTAGTTTGATACTTACAGTCCACACGGTACAAGGTTTGTTGTTGGACTGTTCACAGGAGGGACATATCCATTAGTTTGATACTTTACAGCCCACACGGTACAAGGTTTGTTGTTGGACTGTTCACAGGAGGGACATATCCATTAGTTTGATACTTACAGTCCACACGGTACAAGGTTTGTTGTTGGACTGTTCACAGGAGGGACATATCCATTAGTTTGATACTTACAGCCCACACGGTACAAGGTTTGTTGTTGGACTGTTCACAGGAGGACATATCCATTAGTTTGATACTTACAGTCCACACGGTACAAGGTTTGTTGTTGGACTGTTCACAGGAGGGACATATCCATTAGTTTGATACTTACAGTCCACACGGTACAAGGTTTGTTGTTGGACTGTTCACAGGAGGGACATATCCATTAGTTTGATACTTACAGCCCACACGGTACAAGGTTTGTTGTTGGACTGTTCACAGGAGGGACATATCCATTAGTTTGATACTTACAGCCCACACGGTACAAGGTTTGTTGTTGGACTGTTCACAGGAGGACATATCCATTAGTTTGATACTTACAGCCCACACGGTACAAGGTTTGTTGTTGGACTGTTCACAGGAGGGACATATCCATTAGTTTGATACTTACAGTCCACATGGTACAAGGTTTGTTGTTGGACTGTTCACAGGAGGGACATATCCATTAGTTTGATACTTACAGCCCACACGGTACAAGGTTTGTTGTTGGACTGTTCACAGGAGGGACATATCCATTAGTTTGATACTTACAGTCCACATGGTACAAGGTTTGTTGTTGGACTGTTCACAGGAGGGACATATCCATTAGTTTGATACTTACAGCCCACACGGTACAAGGTTTGTTGTTGGACTGTTCACAGGAGGGACATATCCATTAGTTTGATACTTACAGTCCACATGGTACAAGGTTTGTTGTTGTTATTTAATCAGCAACAATCAGCAACATTCCCGCTAAAAACAGCAGCTTTAAATACTCAGGTTACTGGTCCAGTGGCGGGTACTGTGATCATCGATCCACACCGTCAGTGTATGATATGTAGTCAATCAAGTCAAGGAGTCTAATTGTGTAACTTATCGGGCCACACAATCCAGTGATTGATATTGTGAGCATCCATCCAAACCATCAGAATATAGTTATACTTAATCAACCAGGCCATGGAGCGCAACCATGGCAACCATTCGATCAGCGCTCCTTATCTATAAACCATCTGTCATGACCAGCCTAATCTCCCAGGTACCTATTCCAAACGGGAATCCCTACAGGGTCTACCCTTGTACAAATATGGATCGGAAGAACTGCAACTTAAAATACATGCTAATTGGAAATGGTTTGTCCTCCCTACCTGCAGTGTGGCAAACAGACAAGTGCCGCCCACAGTTTGGCCAGGGAGCCTGTGTCGGCCATCTTGTCAAGGCTTGTGTCCATCATCGACAACAGGTACTCCTGGAAACACAGCTTCTTCCGACTGGAACACATCACACCAACAGAGTTACATGAATCATTAGAGCTGTGACGATATATCGTAGTATCGATAATCGCGATACTTTATCTGACGATAAATATGTCGATACTTTTTTTCGTATCGTGATATGTATCGTTGACCCTAAAATTGTGAATTTTCACTAGAAATTGACAGTTATGTCAAAATTTACACTGTTACTTGTTATCAAAATACACCTTTTAAAAGAAAATAACTATAACGATAACATATCGTGATATGCATCATATCGAATCGTTCCAAGATATCGTGATCGTAAAATTTATGTATCGTCACATCTCTATGAATCATACAGGTTATATAACACACATTAATTCACTTTTCTGATATATTTCTTTGCATTTTGCACTTTAGTGTACTTTTGGTTATACAACTTACGAGACCAAACTTTCACCTGTGCATGATCAAGTGTGTATCTAATCAGCGGACACTGTACAAGTGAACTAAACAAACTGGACTAGCGATTTCCCTGTCCTCAGCCCCGCCTCCATCTACATGACAGACACGGGTCCCTAGGTTGTCGGCACACTAACAACGTTCACAGGAACATCGCCAGCACTGAGTGCGCAAGGATGATGTCATCACTGGACAGAGAAATCACTAGGAATACAACAAGTTATCTCACAAATCATCTATTGCTACAATCAACATCACCATTCCAAAGGATAAAGTATCAAAATTGTTCACTGTGCATGTGAAATGCCACAACCACGAAGCTGTCAAATTGACCCATCAAGGGAGATAACCTTTCATCCTCACCTTTTCCCTACAGTGCCAAACTCCAATGTGATAGGTTTGAACCCTGACAGCTGACTTCCATCTGCTGGAGCCTTGACCTTGTGCAGCACCAGATCTGTGACCAGGGCAAGAAGGATGTCCTTCACCTCTGACCCTTCCGACCCGATGTGTGTCTGGATGTAGTTGAGCAGGTTGGGCAACACATCCTAAAGACAGGAAACGGATTACTTGACTGAAACCATCTCATAACGATCCATCAAGACACAGATTCACACACCAATAACTACCATAACTAACATATGTTAAATGAAGGAGTTACGATAGCTGTAGAGTTACAATCACTTTGTCAAATGCACACCAGGTTGTTTTCAAAGTTCAAGTTAGGACAGATCAGTAAATAAAACTAAACTCAATTCGCACTCTGACTCAAGAATTTGTCTGAAATCGGCTTAACGTGAAGGCCAGGTGTTGATCTTATGCGCACAGCTTAATACGACCAGCATTTACCTGAGCCTGACTCCTAAATTCATTTCTCTGCCTTGTATGACCAGCATCGGTTACCGGGGACCAGCATCGGTTACCGGGGACCAATTCCAGTGAAAAATCCCCACACAGTCTGCCACACTATAAAGTCACCAGCCATGACAGTAAGGGCAGAACTCGAGACATACCTTGTCAAACATGAAGAGGTCATACAGCGACTTGGTAAACACAGTCAGGTCCTTCAGGGGAAACTTCCTCACATAAACCTGGGGAAGAAAAAGACACATATGGTGTTCAACTTTCAGGCTGCCATCGTCAAGAAGTGCTGTACTCAAGTATTAAAACCATTTTCAAATGTTTCATACATATTCCTCAAATGAACACTGATGTTTTTCATGTCCGTGACATATCAACATATAGCAATATGACGATACGAGAGAATAAGGTGATCTTTCTTTTCTTTTGGGTGGTACATAATGCAGTATGTTTTCTACAATGTATAAGGTAATGGAATATGATGTGTAATATATACTTCATTACAAGTCATATTTTTTTTATCAGCCACAGAGGATCAATGTCTTATTTATCCTTATTGTACGGAAGTAATTTTGCAGTTACCAAACTTACTCACTCCGTCAACCAACATCACATTTAACTGAATTACACACTGCAACCAGACACTTCAAACAAACCACCTTTTTGTTATAGGCTTTGTCCCAAGGAATCATAAATAGGCTTTGTCCCTAGGAATCATAAATAGGCTTTGTCCCTAGGAATCATAAATAGGCTTTGTCCCTAGGAATCATAAACAGGCTTTGTTCCTAGGAATCATAAATAGGCTTTGTCCCAAGGAATCATGAACAGGCTTTGTCCCTAGGAATCATAAATAGTCTTTGTTCCTAGGAATCATAAATAGGCTTTGTCGCTAGGAATCATAAATAGGCTTTGTCCCTAGGAATCATAAATAGGCTTTGTCCCTAGGAATCATAAATAGGCTTTGTCCCTAGGAATCATGAACAGGCTTTGTCCCTAGGATCATAAATAGGCTTTGTTCCTAGGAATCATAAATAGGCTTTGTCCCAAGGAATCATGAACAGGCTTTGTCCCTAGGAATCATAAATAGTCGTTGTTCCTAGGAATCATAAATAGGCTTTGTCGCTAGGAATCATGCACAGGCTTTGTCCCTAGGAATCATAAATAGGCTTTGCCCCTAGGAATCATGAACAGGCTTTGTTTCTAGGAATCATAAATAGGCTTTGTTCCTAGGAATCGTCCCTTGGCTTTGTCCTTAGGAATCATCCCAATGATTCATCCCCACGCTTCAACAATATGATTCATCCTTATCATTACATGTCACCCTTGTTTGTCATGAAGATGAAACTCTTTAAATGTAGCTCTCATCCATGAAACCATGTCCTTCCAAACAGTTTGCAGTGGCATGAAAACATCACCAGCATCAGTTCCAAAATTTCCCATTTGAGAACACCAAGACTGAAATCCATACATCATCTCTGTCTCTATCATGTCCACAGAGACATCGACATCCACCAATAGTTACCTGTGCAAGCATCTTGGCTGTGTCCCCCATTGTCAAGCGGTCACTCAGATTGACCAGAATACTTGACACAGCATTAAGCAAGGGCTGTCCCACACACTCAGGCTGGACCGAGGTCTTCAATATCACAGTCAAAACCTAAACAAAGGTTCAACTCAAACAATGAAACAGGTTTCTTGTGTTAAAGCAGCTATCTGTTTCTGAATGTCTAATTTTTCAAAGCTGTCATTAAAATACACAAAGCCCCTTCCAGTCAACATTTTTATACCAACTTTTGCGAATGTCAATCATTTAAAATAGCCCCCCACCGAAAGCTCTCAGAAATGTTCATGATGACTATAATAATACACAGGGTCCATATGAAATGGTTTTTAACATCTATTTTGTAATGCAGAAGATTTTCATGTTTGAACCAGTTTTAAGCAAAAGTAAAATGCTTTCGACTTGTTTTCTACCCTGATGCACCATATTTTATAAGGCTGACGCCTAACTTTTGTCAAATCTGTGAACAGTTATGTACACATGTACCTAAAGTCACCTCAAACAAAGAAACCATAGCAATCTAAATGTTCACCTCTGCTACTCTTGATATATCACAGGCAAGCGCCCCCTGGTGGTGGTCGAGCCAGACAGATGTCACACGCAGCAATCGACAAAGCTGCTCAGCCTTCACCTTCTGCTTCTGACCTTTCACCTTGACACACTCTTTCTGAAGGTTAGCAAGACAGTCCTGCAGTAGACAGAAAAGAATATTCAGGCACCAGATAAATCAACTTGAAACATTGATTGAAGAGACACTGTTCGTTTTTCCTTTTATAACCCACTCAGCAAGACATCAGTTAAATCATGTCAACCTAAGATGACACCAGCCTAGGTCAGACAAATCAGTGGGTCATGTCATGAGCAATAACCCAGTCTAATGGGATAAGGTGACACCAGTCTAGGTCAGACAAATCAGTGGGTCGTGTCATGAGCAATGTCCCAGGTTAATGGGATAAGGTGACACAAGCCTAGGTCAGACAAACCAGTGGTTGATGGTATGAGCACTGTCCCAGCCTAATGGGATAAATGACACCAGCCTAAGCCAGAGAAATCAGTTGTTGATGTTATTAGCAATTATAAGTGTGGCCCAACTGTAATTGTGTATTCCATCTTACCAACAGGATGCTCCACAAGGGGGCGATGTGATCTCTGTTAGTGTGTTCAGCACAGGACTTCATCATCTGGACGAGGGACTTCTCCACCAGCTTCCATGGTAACTTGGTGGCAGAATCAGATTTTTCCATTGGTCCCAACTTGGACAGAATGACTGGGAAAATCTGAAAAGTGAAAAATTGATAGTCAGTTTTTTGAAAAACCTGTTTCCTGGCTTGCGTTCATAAGAATCTCCTTCTGTAACTAGAATTATACAATAATAACATCACAATGGTCCCGAGAACTATAAAGGATGTAGTGTTTGCATAACAACTGTTCTAAATCAGTCAGCAATGTTTGACCTATAACATGAACTGTAAACAATTACGTCTGGTCATCAGGACTGTGGATATGTTCAGCCCAGAAACCATCAATGATCAGAGCTCCAGATAATTTTTCAACATCAGGAGTACGTACTCTTTATTTTTTTCAAAACAGGAGTACTGGAAAATCTTTAGAGTACATTTAGAGTACTGAATGGAATTTAATGGAGTATCAGCAATTCATATATGCACCACAACATTGCTACTCTTGTGTAAACAGGTCAATAAACAATAAAACAATACTTTTTCAGATAAATATGTCTGTAAATGATTCTAAGACCGTACACCATTGCTGTGGTGCATATCTCCTATGTTTTCAAAAATATTTCCTACCGTATTGTGCATATCTTTTATCCGTACATACGCCGATACGGCGATACGGCCCTTATCTGGAGCCCTGATTGATCATTAGTCCAATGAGATTGATCAAAAGAGACAAACCTCTATGAGAATGACCAATTTGCCTGCAGCCCTTGGAAATGATCCAAGTACCCATAGATTTTTGTGAATAACTGACGGACCTACAGGCTCATGAGAATGTGCTGACAGCACTGGGAGATTCCTAAACCACTATACCTACAGTATCAAGATTATAACAACAGAACAGACTGACACGTACCTTTTCTGTTGTGCTGTGGAACTGTTTCTTCACTCCTTTGATCATTTCAAATAGCAGCTGGCCGACGCCTTCAGCTTTCTGATCGACATACAGTGACATGCTACAGACATCATACTTATTAAAACGCAATCTCTCGCTTGGTCATTGTAAATACTTAATGACAATCATATATGAGTCATTCTCAAAAGTTGCAGTTATTTGGTGTACAAAAGACAACATAATTGAAATACAAAATCGTCAATCTTTATTTTCACAAATGGCAAGATACGTTGTTAAGGTTCACATATCAATAGTATTTGAGGCTTAATTATGAGCCATATTTTTATGAAGACTAATTAAACTAATTAGGACGAAGACACAATGTCTTTCCTGTAACAGTAATATCCCCATTTTTCTTAAAAATACATTGATATGTAAAGATATTACATTGCAAAATCTACCTTATGTGTTATTTTGTTACTCACACTTTAAAAAATCAGTTCTAAACTTGTATTTTTATGCCTGTGTCAGATGAAAAAGTGAAATCTTTGGGTACTTTGCAATAATCTTTCAACTGTCTCCCCTCAAACATCATTGCACTGAAGGTGATTTGAAGAGAAAATTTTGATATTTCTGAGTGATTTCTGACAATGTCTTACTCATTAGATCATAAAACATTTACTTTTTAGTCCCGTTATATGAAAGACAGTATCGTTATGCCAAAGACACCCTATGTTATTGGAAAGAAAGTATTTCAAATATATTTGAAAAACTATTTAATTGTAGCAAATATCTTTGATCTATCTGTAATGAAAGGAAGAGTTTTTTGCCTTTTATCCTCAGAAGTATAGTAAGTGTTACATGTTATATTTATATCTCCAAATGAGGCGAGTAACAATGACATGTTTGTTACAGAGAAGACAATTCAATCGTATATTTGAGTTAGGATAAGAATACATCTATGGCAGTGAAGATAAGATAGGTTCACATTAATCATTTGATAAAAGTATTGTTTTTACCATACTTGAAGCGCAAAATATATAGTCTATATTTTGGAACTTAGCCTATGTGTTACCCCAAAGACATGTCAGTGTTTCTGGAAAGACATTTCAGATCAAGTTGATGGAAGACAAAGAATAATTAAATTCTGGTGTTCAATAAAATCTTTAGACATTGTGCTTTGAGAAAAGAACAATAAAAGTAGCAGTTACCATTTTGAAATTTGTTTTCTAGGAACTCAGAAACTCATTTCACAACAAGTTTGACTGTAATTTGCCATGAATTTATCAAACTGTCAAACAGGTTTGCAACTAGCAATAGTATCCAAGTTTTGATCATCTTCCTCAAACTGTTAAACAGGTTTGCAACCAACAAAAGTATCCAAGTTTTGATCATCTTTCTCAAACTGTCAAACAGTTTTGCAACTAGCAATAGTATCCAAGTTTTGATCATCTTCCCAGTGACTGATTGCAAGAATCACTGCCCTGAACTCCAGAACGTTAATGGGACAGTCGCGATCGACGAGAGACCACAACCCTGCCACTTGTTGATTGAGAAGATGAGCTCCCCACCCGTGTTGAGACGCGTCCACATACAAGTGGTGAGACGGAACAAACGGCCCTAAACAAACTCCGTCGCAAACATTCAATTCTTCCATCCACCACAGGAGATGGGGATGGAGCTCCAGAGGTAGAGTGATCAAGGCAACAGGGTCTCCCACTCTCATGTAAGGCGCTAGAAAGAACTTCAAGGGACGAAGTTGTAGTTGACCCCTGAGGGTGAACGCCTGAGCCGACATCAAGAGGCCCAGGAGCTCCTACCACTGACGAAGCATCCTGGGGTGCGCCAGTGCCAGAGAGACCAATTGCTGTATCTTGCAGAAACGATCCCTGGGGACAAAGAGTTTGTTGACCTCTGTGTCGAACACTGCTCCAATGAATTGAAGACGGCGCCTAGGGACTAGTTCCGATTTCTGCAGATTGATTAACCAGCCTAATTGGCAAAGAAGCTGTATCGCAAACTGCATGTGACGAAGCAGAAGGGCATGATTGGTCAGTGCCTGAATGCAGTCGTCGATGTGAGCCTCGAACACTATTCCCTTGCGGTGAAGGAAACTGGTGATAGGCTTCGTTACCCGTGTAAACAGCCACAGGGCCGAAGAAATTCCAAACGGGAGGAAACGCCACTGATAGTGGGTGCCCTTGAAGACAAACCGAAGGAACTTGCGATGAGCCGGGAAGATCGGGATGTGCAGGTACACATCCTGGAGATCCAAACTGACCATGTAGTCTCCCGGCTTGATAATGGTCTTGAGGAGTGCCACTGATACCATGCGAAAATGGGGCGGAGGCTGCAGAAACCTCTCGTTGAATATCTTCATGTTGAAGATTAACCTCAGTTTGTCCGAATCCTTCTTGGGGACCAGAAAGATTGGAGAATAGAACCCCGGGACGGTCGGAGCCTGACCCAAGGATTCGATCGCAAGTTTCTTGAGTAAGGTGTCTATTGTGGATCAAGAACAGCCGTCTGCTGAGCGGGATACTTTCTGCGATCCGGAAGTAAAGTGAGAGGAGGATCCCCGATGACTGGCAGCTGAAACCCGTGGACAACATGGAGAGGACGTAAGGGTCTCCCAAGATGATCCAGTTGGGAGCAAAGGTCCCAAGCCGGCGCCTACTGGGGAAGTCAGAAAGGGCACGACTGGAGGTGGAAGAACCCAGTCGCGTTCTAATGTCATCAAGTCACTGTTTGTCAGGCCTTTGCAAAGTGGACTGGTCGGCAGTGGAAGCTGGTCGTGAAGCAGAGAACGTCCGACGTTGACAGCTGGACCGTCCTCTGCCAAAAGATCCCTTTCCACGAAAGGAAGCAGTAGAACCCGCACGCAGGTCCGGATTGACAGGAACAAAATGGGCTGGTCGTCGCCGACGCAACGATTCCTCCACCTGCAAACGTTGGAATTTCAACAATTCCACTGACACTTGTATATGAGCATCTTGACAAACTCTGTTGGCGACATCTCTAATCGCCCCGTTGAAAAGAGACCTTCCAGACCACGGCTGCAGAAAGAGATCAGTACGGAACCTATCCTCCCATGAGGATAAGTGCAAAGGCCCCCTGTGACGCACAGCTGTGACATACGAAAAGAAGTGAGCCAACTGATCCAGAATGGTCTGAAATTGCTCTTGCAATAAGACCATAGCCGCTCGAATATACGCTTCTTGATGGGACGTAGCATGTGCAACCGACATAGCCACCGCCTCAGTTGTCGTCAACCCCATGTTGAGTGGCGCCATAATCTTCCTTATGACACCATCCAGATGCAAAAGCTCACGATCCTCCACCAGGAACGGCGAGTAGGCTTTCTGTTTAGTTCCCAGCAACGTAATATCATCATCCACCGGAGGGGAGACGATCAGCGTAGAGAAACCATGCACATGAGCAGTTGCCAAATTGTCGCGAGGAGCCGCGAACCCATCCTTAACCTTCCTCAGGTTACCAAAAGCCTCATCCAGAGATGCTGCCAATTGAGTAATACACAGTCGAGGCGGGAACATGATGGAACCAAAGTCACCTAGCTTCATATAAAAACAGGATAATAAATCTGCCGACGAACTACTACGCTGTAAACGGAGGCAATCCAGATAAGTAGTTGAGGTGGGTCAACATCATCCACGCTACCATCCAACAGTGCCGTACCATCAGAAGCGGGAGATGGCATCGTCGAACGACGAACCTCCTCTAAAAGTGGAACTGGATTGGTCGAAGGACCCGATGACTGAACAGCAGCGGAAGTTGCTGGCGCCGAACCAAAGCCACCATGAGTAAGCGCCTAACTGGGAGCACCGGGAGGAAGCGCCGAACCGGGAACACCGGGAGGAAGCGCCGAATCTGGAACACCAGGAGTAAGCGCCGAACCAGAGGCACACAAGAGCGCCGACCTGGAAGCAAGCGGCGTTCTGAATGACATCATGGGATCGGTAACAAGCGGCGCTCTACCAACAGGTAACCATCCTGATGTAATTGGTGCTGGAGCAGCAAACAACGCACTAGAATAACGTGGTGGTCCATAACCAAACGGTACATGATAAGGGATAGATGTGGAAAAAGGCACTCTAGGAATCATTGACACACCAGTCAACCCCACCAGAGGATGAGAGAGGGCCGCACCGAAACCATCCACTGCACCCGAAGCAATTGACACATTCGACACAAGCCCCGAATGGGAAACAGGCGTAGAATCAACCACCGAAGTGGAAAGCGCCAAGACTGCAAGGAAGCGCCACTTGAGATGTAATGCAAGTAATCACACCAAGCGCCGCACGAGAAACCCCCACCTTCGGAACAGAAGTGCACAGAGGAATAGGTATCACCGAAGAGGGACGGGTTTGAAGAGAAGACGTAGACAACACGACAACCGTAGGTGGTGAAGAGTCTTCTAAAGTGATGGGGCTAGACGCATGCGGCCGGAAAAGTTGACGTAAATTTTCACTGAGGTAAGAATCCGACGCCTCCCCTAGGAAAACTTCAGCAGGCGACGTGGACTTCGAACATCAGAGTGCAGTTTTCTTACGGCGTTCAGTCTTAGAACGTTTAGACGCAGAAGGACCCTCAGATGGTTGGCGACGATCCCCTGTCTGACACGCGGCTACAAGCTACCTGGTGATATTCAGAAAAAGCATCATTGTTGAGGTCTGCACAAAAAGTGCAACGTTGAGACCACTCACAACGTCCTAAACAATCAACACATAAAGCATGTGGGTCTGCGCCGAGAAGTTGCTGTTGCATTTATCGCAATGTTTGCGCTTTTTAGCACTATTGCGATTGGATTTTCCCATTGTAGAAACACAATCAAACTTTCTTAGAGAAAAGCACACGTCCACACGATGTAGCGACAAGAAAGAGAATGACAGGCACAGGTCACATGATCATCTGAGCGAGCTCCACGCTTACGGAGATGATTGACAGGTGCTGATGTCGGAGTGGGGGCAGAGGTCAGGGGAGGTCAGAGGCCAGTAAGATTTGATTCAACTTAGCCTACAGCACGTTTCCACACATGGTCGTAGAAGAAGAAGAGAGGTGCATACCATGAGATAGGATAAGTTTAAAAATAATATCTTCTTAAATGAAATTTAGTGCGCAGCAGACACATGATGTTAGGTTTTTGCACCTGGATACATGACATAATGCATGACCCATGTTACAAAAAAAAAAAATAAACATTATTTGGTCCTTTTGTTTGTGATAAAAAATTCCCAAGTAAGATTAGACATTGACAATGAAGGAGAAATCAGATTTTTAACCACTGATAAAATTTGACGGTTTTATTGAGGTTTTAATCCAGATACGGGGAAAAGCTGCATCTTCTGAGAATGACTCTTATAATATGTTTATACATGTCACCCTTGAACATCTATGGCAGCTTTGCCATGAGCCAGTGAGCAGAATCTATTTTTAGACAGCTAATCAATGGACACCCTTTCTAACTCCCAGAGGTTTAATGGCCCCTGCTTTGAGTATCAACTTAGGGCAAACCGCACCACAGCTTGATACTGAAGTGCTGACTTGGTTGACACGTCATTCCATCCCAAATGCATAGATCAATGCTCAAGCTGTTGATCACTGGATTGTCTGGTCCAGACTTGATTATTTACAGACCGCCGACATATAGCTGAAATATTGCTGAGTGCGGCGTTAAACAACAAACCAACCAATGATACTGAAGTAAACTGCAGTGCAGATTCCATGTGCATGAAATACTGGCATTCATATGATTCAGTGAAATAAAGGCAATCGGTGGATTTCCCTTCTACAGGAAGTTGTTTGTTTCTTTATGCCTTGAAGCACAGATGTAACCACAAATCGGTCAAATTCTTTCATGGGTGATAGTGGCACATATAATAGCTCACTCCTCAATATTACCAATATGACAGTCTGTAAAAATCTAAGTCTGGACCAGATCATCTATAGTCTGTTTGCAGTGAAAATGTTCTGATGAATTTCACTTAAACAAAAAAGTAAATCAAACAAAGTGAAATTAAGATTGCGAATCCTCATTATTTTACCTTGCCAATCGAACATTTAAATTTCAGAATTTTATTCAACTTAGGATAAAAGTTGTTTAACAAACGATCATAGTTTCAAATCACTATCATTGGTTTGTATTACAAGAGGGTACGCTCAGTAGTTGGAACAGTGAAACAAATGAGCGTTAACTTAGACTACCGTAGAAACCAACCCTTCTTGTTCTCATGGCTTCATTTAATGTGCATACCCCCTTGTAATACAAACCAATAACGTTTGTAAAGTTATGAGGATTTGCAAGCTTAATTTCACTTTCTTTTATTTACTTTTTAGTTTAAAGGGAAATTCATCGGTATGTTTTCACTGCAAACAGACTATAGCAAGTGACAGCATGAGCGCTGATCTTAGCAATTGGGATACAATGACATGTGTCAACCAAAGCAGCGAGTCTGATAACCCGATCCCGTAGGTCACCTCTTTTGACAAGCATGGGTTGTTGAAGACCAATTGTAACCTAAATGTTACAGAGGCATGAAGGAACAGTGTCTTAAAAAACATGAAGTAATGGAGACGTGACATGTTTAAGAGTTCTATTTTGTAACCATGGCAACAAGACTCACATCAGGATCTTCCTCAAGTGTAGAAAATAGGAAATCAAAGAACCCACTGTGATCTTTTACCTGGAATAGGATCAAGTCAAATCAGGACAATGCACATCTAAAATATTTTATACCCAATTTACTCACACGCTTCCTTGAATTATACCTTCCCTTTTCATACCTATACAGTTATGCATTCATCAATATTTAAATAAAACACAGCATCTGTACAGAAACAAGCCACCAAGCCTGACTTTCTCATTTTTGATGCATGTCACCTGTTACTACTGACAAAAGTGACATACTTAATCTACAATCAACATATGGTAAAATCAAATGTCTAATGCTATTTAATGGTGATAGCTGTCTTACTGTTGGACATATCTGTGCTGTGCATTTGTATTTGCTTACAATATTGCATACCATGACCCATGATTAGAACTGATGAAATTTCTGGTTTAAGAATATTTTGGAAACTCATTTCCATCTGACCAATAAATGATCAGCTAATGATCATTGTTTACACTGCATAATATCTACCATGAGAGCTAACTATAGACTTGACACATTACACTTCATTGACAATATTGCTAAAAACGGCGACACTCACTTCATTGACACCGACACAAGCCAGGAGACAATCATTGTTACCTTCCGCATAAGAAACGCAAAACTCTCGGCAGCGAACTTCCTGATGTATTCCTTGTAGTGGGAGGCAAGCAGTGCCGAGAACATCCTGCAGGGGAGAGAACTCATCACATGAATACGTCCATGTACAGTTTAACATCTTAAGTGTGTTTGTTTGTTGTTTAACGCCATACTCAGCAATATTCCAGCTACATTGTAGGGATCAGTAAATAATGCAGTCTGGACCAGACAATCCAGTGATCAACAGCATGAGCATCGATCTACACAGTTGGGATACGATGACATGTGTCAACCAAGTCAGCAAGCATGACCATCCGATCCTGTTAGTCACTTCTTATGACTGAAGTCCAGCCGTGATCATCATGGGTGTGGATCATCATAAGGGTTAGCAGCATGTGGTATCTATTATGCTCTATGCTTCCCTAGTTCTGAAAATGTTTCTATTTTGTTGGTGAACATTGCACTCAGCAATATTCCAGCATTATGAAGTCGGTCTGGAAATAACCTTGTCCATACCATACATTTAACTGACTAATGGTATGAGCAAAGATCCGAACAATCAGTTTACAATTCTCACCAACACCACTACTGTCCTTCTCACTAGTAGCAGTGCTGTACTTCCCACTCACCACTCTCATTCTTTCCACCTCTCATTTCCGATACACGCTCACACCATCTGTTTCTATCAAACAGCCATTTCTGCTCTGCCCTTCTCTCCTTTTTCAGCCATCGCCCTGTCCCCTTTCTCCAACCCACTCCTAGTTACCACAATCTTGCCTGTCCACCCAGAAATAGACTGACTGACTCCAACAATATTCCAGCAATATCTAATTCCAGAATTGTTACACATTGTGCTAACCGGGTCTTGTACCAGGAATCCACTACCAGAAGTAGAGAAGGAACAAACCAAGTCAAAGCTACCATCAGTTACTTACCCATAAAAAGAGGCGACTAACAGGATCGGGTGGTCAGGCTCACTGACTTGGTTGACACATCGGTTCCCAATTGCGTATGATCGATGCTTCATGCTGTTGATCAGCTGGATTGTCTGGTCCAGACTCAATTATTTACAGACCGCCGCCATGTAGCTGGAATATTGCTGAGTGCGGCGTAAAACTAAACTCACTCACTCACTTACCCATAAACCTCCTTGATGTCCTTGGCCAGGTACCTCCAGAGGAACTTGAAGAGGTAGGCGAGACAGGTGAATAGTTTCTCCAGAACATCCACATCCTTGGTGATGGAGTTCAGCAGCCGCACCAGGATGTGGAACATGTCATGGAAGTGCTTGTAGAAGTCAGCCTGGAGATCTCGTGCCAGCTGCACCACCAAGCTGAGAACAGACAGGGATAATGGTTGCAAAGGCAAATTGAAGTAAGTATCATCATGACTGACCATACCAAACCTGGCACCAGGTACAAATGGTGGATGGTTTCACATTATGACTGTAAAACTTATCAAAGCATTAAACAATTAAGAAAAACTGTTCATTCTAAGTGTCACAGTACTTGACATGTTTATGCTCACCAAATGTTATGAAATAACTGATAGGTTAGGTTTAACAGATAGGTTAGGTTTAACAGATAGGTCAGGTTTGACAGATAGGTAGGTTTAACAGATAGGTTAGGTTTAACAGATAGGTTAGGTTTAACAGATAGGTTAGGCAGCCTTAAATAACAAACCATCAAATCAGATATCTTACTCTAGTAGCGGCTCATATGCCATTGTGTTTGGAATCAGCAAATGTTTCTTCAGAGCTTCAACAATGGATTCCTGAAAGAAAATAACCACAGTATCAGCATCAGGTGGACCAACATACATGGAACAATACCACATCCGCCATAAGCTCTGATGCATTGTACTCCTAGCTTATGTTTAGTATCTCCAACAAAGCCAACATATATTTCTCAGAAGCATCTCTTGAGAAGTAGTCACAACCTATCACTATATGTTAATAATTCAAGAAGTGTGTACTAGGGTGTACTGTGCTGCTACCATGGTGTGAAGTACTGTTACCACGGTGTACTGTATTGTACCATGGTGTAAAGTAGTTACCATGGTTTACAGTACCGTTACCATGCGGTACAGTACGTTCTCTAGGGTGTACTGTACTGCTACCATGGTGTACCATACTGTCTCTAGGGTGTACTGTACTGCTACCATGGTGTACTGTACTGTCTCTAGGGTGTACTGTACTGCTACCATGGTGTACTGTACTGCTACCATGGTGTACTGTACTGTCTCTAGGGTGTACTGTACTGCTACCATGGTGTACCATCCTGTCTCTAGGATGTACTGTACTGCTACCATGGTGTACCATACTGTCTCTAGGGTGTACTGTACTGCTACCATGGTGTACTGTACTGTCTCTAGGGTGTACTGTACTGCTACCATGGTGTACTGTACTGTCTCTAGGGTGTACTGTACTGCTACCATGGTGTACTGTACTGACTGACTGACTGACTGAGTTTAGTTTAACGCCGCTTTTAGCAATATTCCAGCAATATCACGGCGGGGGACACCAGAAATGGGCTTAACACATTGTGCCCATGTGGGGAATCGAACCCGGGTCTTCGGCGTGACGAGCGTTTCGAGCGAACGCTTTAACCACTAGGCTACCCCACCGCCCCTGTACTGTACTGTCTCTAGGGTGCACTGTACTGCTACCATGGTGTACCATACTGTCTCTAGGGTGTACTGTACTGCTACCATGGTGTACTGTACTGTCTCTAGGGTGTACTGTACTGCTACCATGGTGTACCATACTGTCTCTAGGGTGTACTGTACTGTTACCATGGTGTACTGTACTGTCTCTAGGGTGTACTGTACTGTTACCATGCGGTACAGTGCTGTCTCTAGGGTGTACTATACTGCTACAATGGTGTACTGTACTGTCTCTAGGGTGTACTGTACTGCTACCATGGTGTACTGTACTGTCTCTAGGGTGTACTGTACTGCTACCATGGTGTACTGTACTGACTGACTGACTGACTGAGTTTAGTTTAACGCCGCTTTTAGCAATATTCCAGCAATATCACGGCGGGGGACACCAGAAATGGGCTTAACACATTGTGCCCATGTGGGGAATCGAACCCGGGTCTTCGGTGTGACGAGCGAACGCTTTAACCACTAGGCTACCCCACCGCCCCTGTACTGTACTGTCTCTAGGGTGCACTGTACTGCTACCATGGTGTACCATACTGTCTCTAGGGTGTACTGTACTGCTACCATGGTGTACTGTACTGTCTCTAGGGTGTACTGTACTGCTACCATGGTGTACCATACTGTCTCTAGGGTGTACTGTACTGTTACCATGGTGTACTGTACTGTCTCTAGGGTGTACTGTACTGTTACCATGCGGTACAGTGCTGTCTCTAGGGTGTACTGCACTGCTACCATGGTGTACTGTACTGTCTCTAGGGTGTACTGTACTGCTACAATGGTGTACTGTGTCTCTAGGGTGAACTGTACCACTACCATGGTGTACTGTACTGTCTCTAGGGTGCACTGTACTGTTACCATGGTGTACCATCCTGTCTCTAGGATGTACTGTACTGCTACCATGCTGTACCATACTGTCTCTAGGGTGTACTGTACTGTCTCTAGGGTGTACTGTACTGTCTCTAGGGTGTACTGTACTGCTACCATGGTGTGAACAATTGTTACCATGGTGTAAAGTAGTTACCATGGTTTACAGTACTGTTACCATGCGGTACAGTGCTGTCTCTAGGGTGTACTGTACTGCTACCATCGTGTACTGTACTGTCTCTAGGGTGTACTGTACTGCTACCATGGTGTACTGTACTGTCTCTAGGGTGCACTGTACTGCTACCATGGTGTACCATACTGTCTCTAGGGTGTACTGTACTGTTACCATGGTGTACCATACTGTCTCTAGGATGTACTGTACTGTTACCATGGTGTACTGTACTGTCTCTAGGGTGTACTGTACTGCTACCATGGTGTACTGTACTGTCTCTAGGGTGTACTGTACTGCTACCATGGTGTACCATACTGTCTCTAGGATGTACTGTACTGTTACCATGGTGTACTGTACTGTCTCTAGGGTGCACTGTACTGTTACCATGGTGCACCAAACTGTCTCTAGGGTGTACTGTACTGTTACCATGGTGTACCATACTGTCTCTAGGATGTACTGTACTGTTACCATGGTGTACTGTACTGTCTCTAGGGTGTACTGTACTGCTACCATGGTGTACTGTACTGTCTCTAGGGTGTACTGTACTGCTACCATGGTGTACTGTACTGTCTCTAGGGTGTACTGTACTGCTACCATGGTGTACTGTACTGTCTCTAGGGTGCACTGTACTGTTACCATGGTGTACCATACTGTCTCTAGGATGTACTGTACTGTTACCATGGTGTACCATACTGTCTCTAGGATGTACTGTACTGTTACCATGGTGTACCATACTGTCTCTAGGGTGTACTGTACTGCTACCATGGTGTACTGTACTGTCTCTAGGGTGTACTGTACTGCTACCATGGTGTACCATACTGTCTCTAGGGTGTACTGTACTGTTACCATGGTGTACTGTACTGTCTCTAGGATGTACTGTACTGTTACCATGGTGTACTGTACTGTCTCTAGGGTGCACTGTACTGTTACCATGGTGCACCAAACTGTCTCTAGGGTGTACTGTACTGTTACCATGGTGTACCATACTGTCTCTAGGATGTACTGTACTGTTACCATGGTGTACCATACTGTCTCTAGGGTGTACTGTACTGCTACCATGGTGTACTGTACTGTCTCTAGGGTGTACTGTACTGCTACCATGGTGTACCATACTGTCTCTAGGGTGTACTGTACTGCTACCATGGTGTACTGTACTGTCTCTAGGGTGTACTGTACTGTTACCATGCGGTACAGTGCTGTCTCTAGGGTGTACTGCACTGCTACCATGGTGTACTGTACTGTCTCTAGGGTGTACTGTACTGCTACAATGGTGTACTGTGTCTCTAGGGTGTACTGTACTGCTACCATGGTGTACTGTACTGTCTCTAGGGTGCACTGTACTGTTACCATGGTGGACCATACTGTCTCTAGGATGTACTGTACTGTTACCATGGTGTACCATACTGTCTCTAGGGTGTACTGTACTGCTACCATGGTGTACTGTACTGTCTCTAGGGTGTACTGTACTGCTACCATGGTGTACCATACTGTCTCTAGGGTGTACTGTACTGCTACCATGGTGTACTGTACTGTCTCTAGGGTGTACTGTACTGTTACCATGCGGTACAGTGCTGTCTCTAGGGTGTACTGTACTGCTACCATGGTGTACTGTACTGCTACCATGGTGTACTGTACTGTCTCTAGGGTGTACTGTACTGTTACCATGGTGTACCATACTGTCTCTAGGATGTACTGTACTGTTACCATGGTGTACCATACTGTCTCTAGGATGTACTGAACTGCTACCATGGTGTACCATACTGTCTCTAGGATGTACTGAACTGCTACCATGGTGTACCATACTGTCTCTAGGGTGCACTGTACTGTTATCATGGTGTACTGTACTGTCTCTAGGGTGCACTGTACTGTTATCATGGTGTACTGTACTGTCTCTAGGGTGTACTGTACTGCTACCATGGTGTACTGTACTGCTACCATGGTGTACTGTACTGTCTCTAGGGTGTACTGTACTGCTACCATGGTGTACCATACTGTCTCTAGGGTGCACTGTACTGTTATCATGGTGTACCATACTGTCTCTAGGATGTACTGAACTGCTACCATGGTGTACCATACTGTCTCTAGGGTGCACTGCACTGTTACCATGGTGTACCATACTGTTTCTAGGGTGTACTGTACTGCTACCATCGTGTACTGTACTGTCTCTAGGATGTACTGTACTGCTACCATGGTGTACTGTACTGTCTCTAGGGTGCACTGTACTGCTACCATGGTGTACCATACTGTCTCTAGGATGTACTGAACTGCTACCATGGTGTACCATACTGTCTCTAGGGTGCACTGTACTGTTACCATGGTGTACCATACTGTTTCTAGGGTGCACTGTACTGTTACCATGGTGTACCATACTGTCTCTAGGATGTACTGAACTGCTACCATGGTGTACCATACTGTCTCTAGGGTGCACTGTACTGTTACCATGGTGTACCATACTGTTTCTAGGATGCACTGTACTGTTACCATGGTGTACCATACTGTCTCTAGGATGTACTGTACTGTTACCATGGGGTACTGTACTGTCTCTAGGGAGTACTGTACTGTTACCATGGTGTACCATACTGTTTCTAGGATGTACTGTACTGTTACCATGGTGTACCATACTGTCTCTAGGATGTACTGTACTGTTACCATGGGGTACTGTACTGTCTCTAGGGTGCACTGTACTGCTACCATGGGGTACTGTACTGTCTCTAGGGTGCACTGTACTGCTACCATGGTGTACTGTACTGTCTCTAGGGTGTACTGTACTGCTACCATGGTGTACTGTACTGTCTCTAGGGTGTACTGTACTGCTACCATGGTATACAGTACTGTCTCTAGGGTGTACTGTACTGTCTCTAGAGTGTACTGTACTGTCTCTAGGGTGTACTGTACTGCTACCATGGTATACTGTACTGTCTCTAGGGTGTTATAGTGTTACCATGGTGCACCATACTGTCTCTAGGGTATACTGTACTGTTACCATGCTGTACTGTACTGTAACCATAGTATGCTGTACTGTACCCATAGTATACTGTACCATTACCATGCTGTACTGTACTGTAACCACACTGTACTGTACTGTAACCATAGTATACTGTACTGTAACCATGCTGTACTGTGACCATGGTATAATGTACTGTAACCATAGTATACTGAACTGTTACCATGCTGTACTGTACTGTAACCATAGTATACTGAACTGTAACCATGGTGTACTGTACTCTCTCTAGGGTGTACTGTACTGGTACCATGGTGTTCTGTAAGACTGGATAATTACTTAAACAGGAAGAGCATAACCAGGAATAAAATGGTGTGTCCGTTGGAAAACAACAAACCATGCATTTGATCCCTTCTTAACATTTGCCTGTACTGTACATACATATCTGTACAGAATACATACCTCATTGTGTACTAGCTGTGGGAAAGTGTGAACTTTTTCAGATATCTCTTGTTGAAAATTGTCTGCAAACAAAACAAAAACTTTCAGTTGAATTGAAAATCATCTTACCAATGACTTCTTTAACCATGGAGACACTGTGTCAATGTTTGCATATCGCAACTACTACTACTGTTTGAGGTCGAAAAAGGCAGTCGAGCAGAACTGATAAGACAGTAATTATACCATTCGTTTGAAGGAAAAACACTGTGTGCAGTTCAAAGAATCAAGGGATGCATGTTTGTGACTGTAAAGAAAGACAAACTAGGCCAAGTTTGATTTTTAAGAATTCAGGAAATGTTTCCCAATACATGTTAAGGGTAGACAACTCTTGGCACCTGATGATATCCTAAACAGATGTAGATACAAATAATGATGACAGCAGAAACATGGAGAAAAAACAATGATTTGGTCAAACACGTGTATTTTCTCAAGAGGTTGGAAAATCTGTTTTCATTGATTTAGCTGTGAAGCTGTACTTGACCTTACCATCAGTCCATAAATGTCAATGCTGGGATAAAAGGCTTGTAGTCACCTTCAGAAATACTTTCAGAACATTTACAATATGTATTACTTTTCAGTAAAATTTTCAAGGGATATTTTTAAAAAGTACGTCATCGGTTACATCATAGGAGTCATCTCCCAAAAGGAGTACACCAGTATAGAGATAGGGACAGTGGGAATCTCATTAATCCATTCACTGCACTCATCAGTGAATCTGCTTATACAGTGATATATCTTGAACATTTGTCTTGGTGCTTGTACTAATCCAGTGAGTGAGTTTGGGGTTTACAACGCTTTTAGCAATATTCCAGCAATATCATGGCGGGGGACACCAGAAATGGGCTTCACACATTGTACCCATGTGGGGAATCGAACCCGGGTCTTCGGCGTTACGAGCAAACACCTGAACCACTAGGCTACCCCACCGCCCCTGTACTAATCCAGACTAATGACATTATAGTAGTGAGTGACCACTGAGATACTATGTCAGTTTAACATGGATATATAGTATACTGTCTCTAAGACAACCAGTCCTTGTTACCTCCCCTTAATGCTGAGTGGCAGGCAGGGTAACAACAAGTAGTATATCTTAACACTGTCTACCCACAAGGACTTACTGAAGTGTTCAGTGCAGTTCATGTCACTCCAACTGAGTAGTGCTTCCCCAAAGTAGGTGGACTGTTCCTGCAAATACATTTTAATTTCTTACATTTATACTTATAAACACTAAATAAGATAGATAACAAACAAATAGAGACTGGTTTTTAATTTTCTTTCTTTTGCACATGACATCATTAACATGACTAATCAGAGAATGCAGATATAACAATCAGTAGTGTATCAGAAGTATTGTGATATTAAATAAGAGATTGCAATACAACATTATAAAATCCCAATTATAAGTCTAAAAGCAATTGGTCTGCCAAGAGCCACTTAGTAAAGGCTTTCAGATCAATCACTGACATTGTCACAGTTTATACCATCACACATCACAACTATGATCTATTGTTAAGTTCCTAACAATCATACAAAACATATTGAAAAATCATCAATGACAAGAAGGTGGGGTGAGGTGAAATGAGGTTTAACGCTGTACTTAAGAATATTTCGCTCATATGACAATGTGCATGCGTGTGTATGTGTATGTGTGGCTGCTTGTACTAGCCCAGACTTAAGCCAGTTTTATAGTGCTAGCTCACTGAGATACCATGCTGCAGTTAAGCATGAATACCCCACACATTATGAGCCGACCAGTACTTGTTATACTCATTCATGCCGAGTGCCAGGCAGGGACCAGTAAGTACAATATTTTAACGTCAATGACACAGAGGCGGCCAGTGACAAAAAACATCACTAAGACTGACTGACTGAGTTTGGTTTTATGCCGCTTTTAGCAATATTCCAGCAACATCACGGCGGGGGACACCAGAAATGGGCTTCACACATTGTGCCCATGTGGGGATTCGAACCTGGGTCTTCGGAGTGACGAGCCAACGCTTTAACCATTAGGCTACCCAACCGCTCCCCCAGCACCATCACTAGGAACAAAACTTACCTCAACATCATCATCATGGTGTTTGATTTTGTGAATGACATCAATGTTAACTGCAGCAATTCGTTCTGCAAATGTCTGAAACTAAAAGAACACACAGAATCATTGAACATGCTAAAAACAGCACAAATTTAAAATGTTTTCTGTTTATAATATGCAGATAATTATAAGCAGTGATCACGTTTTCAAAAGTAAAGGAATAAAGAGCAAATATGATACAAAACATGCCAATATCTTGGATGTTTCATTACTTGGTTTAAAGTTTTCAAAATAGAATATATTGACAACTGATTGAACATTTCAAAACTGATTCTGAAATGTAATGAAATATATATTTGTTATGTAAGGAATTGACTTCAATTCTTTTTTAGTTTATGTTGTGTTTTGTGCCAGCGTTCCATGTGTAATACATTGTACATGTATATGAATACACAATGCCATTTAGGAAGTGGTCAAATGTAACAGATGGTATAGTTGGAGATTCTAGGCATCAGGCATTCACCTGATGAAGAAGCAGGAATTAGCCTTGAAAGTTGAAACGTCATATAAAGAATAATGAAAAGTTGTTATCCATAAAACATGTCATGTATTCATGCTTCTCCAACTTCTAAATGCCTTTCAAGAACTTTAACCAGAAGACGGTGGTTAAGTAAGGAGCATGGCCTAACTGTTTAGCGAGGGAAAAGTTGCATCTTCATCATGTTCATCTTCCACTTTTACTATTGCTGAAGGGGTCGTTGTTGGCATGGGTACTACAGACATGTACCCCAGGTACGTTTCTGTATACAGATAAGTACCCTGGCCATAATGAGAATACAGAAACGTACCCTAGGACGATTCCATTCCCATTGTGTCGTATTCTTGATCGGAACTGTCATGCTGTTGTATTAGATACATTTGATTGCGTTATGTAAGTAATGAGAACACACAGTAATGGATATTTCGTGATGCATATGAATACCACTCGCAATCAGTTGAACGGGAACAACTACATGCGGTTTCGGTTTTGGATTGCAGAATATGGACTCGTCCTCCTTTTAGGGTACCAGGTACGTTTCTGTATTTTGACTTTGTTTAGGCTACATATCTGTATACAGAAACGTATCTGGGGTACGTATTTGTAGTACCTGTGCTGACAACGACCCCTTCAGCTTTACTATCTGACAACTAGAAGCCAACATATACAGCCATATAACAAGGTGTACAGGTAATTCATAACTTTCCTGATTTACACTCTAACTATGCTGACCGAGTTTGTGAAATTCAATGTAAACTCCGCATTAGAATTTAGTTGGCATGAAATGTTGGTTTATGTAATGATAGTATTATCATGATTACTGTCAGACCAGTTGATGTTTGAAAATAATAGATACAGCAGTAGAAAAGCTACTGTTTACATCTACGGGTGACATATCTATATGATCAGAATCTGGAGCTATCAATTTTCATTTGGGCATTCATGAATGCAGTTTAGCGGGAGCAGCTTACTGTAACGCTAATTGGGTGTCAGTTCTGGACAGTCTGGCTCTCGCTTCACAGATCTCTCGTGCCTCTTTAATCCTTAGGGTTAGTTGTGTAACTGTAACGATGTGATACTCGCCTCTACGGGCATCCTGTATATAATCAACTGCACGATGTCAAAAATTCTACAGAGGTTGTTACCTCGGATCAGTATTTACAAATTACCGATACATGAATATGGAAGGTTCTCAGTTGAAATAAAGTTTCGTCACATCTTTCAGTCACATAAATTATCAACCGAAACTTACTCTGAAGTCATTCTCAGACTGGTGGTGCGACGATTTAACCATTTTGGTAATCCCTCCTATGTATTTCGCTCTATGTAAGTGTGTGTATACATTTCCAAAACACGTGTGGACATTGCGGAAGGAAACTAGTGCCACCTATATCCGCATTTGTCATTACCTCCCCTGACATCCTGCATTCGGAATTTGAGATACGCTTATACCTCAACGATGCTCCGATTGTTTCAGTCACCTAAAACATTTCACATGCTTTGGATTGAATGGAACATGATAGGAATCATGTTCACAGGGAATGCAGTTAGCTCATTCGCCTGGGGACTTTAATTATCAACAAGAATCGACGTAAAAATATCAGTTTGCTAACTCAGCCTGATATTTCAGAGCTATTTTGTTATTGTGTCTTTCAGTGGCATTTAGAAGTTGTACATTGATGTCCAAGATATTTTTATGGATTAAACTTCTTATTATAAAGAAGTTTAATCTATAAAAATATCATGGATATTTTGTTATTACATCACATTGATAATGGCAAGCAGTTATTATGGATGACAACTTCTTTATGCCATTAATTTGGAACGTTTCGTTATAGACTGACTGACTGACTGAGTTTGGTTTTACGCCGCTTTTAGCAATATTCCAGCAACATCACGGCGGGGGACACCAGAAATGGGCTTCACACATTGTACCCATGTGGGGATTCGAACCCGGGTCTTTAACCATTAGGCTACCCCACCGCCCCTTTCGTTATAGACCCTCATACGGTTGTCAAGCAAAATTCTTGTCTCGTCAACTGTATAAGGATCTATACCTAGACGTCGCATCATAACGGTAAAAAACCCCACAAAAGTATCTTGCATTTATTGCTAATAAGCATCTTCTAAAATGACAACCAAACAGATGAATAAATGGGAATAACGATTACTATTCCCTTGCCCAAATTATTGTTTAACTCTTCACAAGAACCTGATCGAATTTCACATATATTCATGAGGTTGTTTTTTTATAACTTTAGGTATAAATGGACCGACAGTAGTGTCACGCATTGTCGTTTATGTGAGTGAGTGAGGTACGTTTGTTCAAATATGAGTATTTGTGTTTACATCTTTGTTGCCAGTTTCAAAATAAAATACTTTGCAAATTTATGTGTGAAAATATACAATGTACAATTGAAATACTTTAGACAGACATATAAAGTTTAAACCTTCAGTTTACGTGATTATTTCAATCAATCAATCAATTCTTTATTGCATGAAATACCAGAGGCCCATATACAGTGAGTGAGTGAGTTTTGTTTTACGCCGCTTTTAGCAACATTCCAGCAATATCACGGCGGGGAACACCAGTAATGGGCTTCACACATTGTGCCCATGTGGGGAATCGAACCCGGGCCTTCGGCGTGACGAGCGAACGCTTTAACCACTAGGATACAGCACCGCCCTATATACAAAAGAGATACATATTAACAAAGACATATACATCTGTATTATCAACTTCTAATCAACCAATTCTGTATTGTAAATAGATAGATAGGGCTACTTTGTGTTGGTCTGAAGGTTCTTTGCAGGAAAGTAAGGAAGACAATAATTTAACATTAATAAAAGGCATTTGTGGAAGAATATTATTCCTTAGATTTTCATATACATGACGAATAAAAATAAAATGGAATTCATCATCAATTATGTTACAGAATGGACATAGTCTTTGGGTCTTTTCAATAGAAAAATATCTTCCACGGTTCATTAGTAAATCATTAAAACATATTTTAAAACGTATTTATAAAAGCATTGCGAATATAAATTATGTGCAAAAAGTGGGTCAATAATGCACTTAGCTACTTTTGAGATAAAGACTACATTGGGCACATATCTATTTCAGAAAAAATACATGTCCCAAATTCTCGGTGCTGCCGACAGTGCACATGCACCTATGCATACGTGTCCTGACTGTGTCATTCAAGTGATCACACATCCTTGTACAGATAACGGAACGTCTAGACAGGTTCTTTACGTAAACAGACTAATAAAGTGCACACGCACTATTAGAACGGTTGCTTGGTGTATAGATTAAACCAACACGTAGCCAACAGACAACGGTAATTTCTACCTGTACTGTTAGTTGGTTTGTTTGTTGTTTAACGCCGTTAATGAATGCCGTTTCTGCCTTCCTTTGTATCGTCTCAGACATACATGCTATAATATTCTGTGAACTAGAACGCCTTTCAACTCCGAGAAAGGTGAGGTGAGGTGAAATTGGGTTTAACGTCGTGCTTGAGAATATCCGAGAAAGAATATCATTGGCAAGAAATGATGGGTGCTTTTATGTATCTATTTATTTTTATTTTATTCAAATCTTTTATTTATTTATTTATTTATTTATTTTATTTATTTATTTATTTATTTATTTATTTATTTATTTATTTATATTTGTTGGGCGGGGTGGGGGTCTTCGGTTTTGGTCTTTTGGGGTTTGTTTTGTATGTTTGGGTTTTGGATGTGTTTTTATTTATTGTTATTGGTGTGTCCGCATACAACATAGTGTGGTTTGTTTGACGGCTACTGCATCATCGACTTTTGGCTAGGATGACGTTAAGTGTCGTGTTTCGAGCCCATGGTGTCATTATCACTATTATTCATGGGGAAGGGTTCACTGGTGGATCAATTCCTTTGTTCATGACTGATGTAGTCCGCTTGACGCATACAACGGAATAGTAGACCGTTTAACGGAGGTTCATTGAATCAGCAACAGCATTGACCATGTGACGATCTGCAAAATCTGACAATGGTACATCACTGACATCGACAGGGTTGTTGTACCACATCATCCTCTGAACTCGACCAGTCTCCATGGGCAACAATGAATCGTGTACATGCCGTGACTGTTACGTCAAGAGGAGGTAGTTCGTCATGGCGTCCCGATCTTAATCCCATAGAGCAGGTTTGGGACGCAGAACACCTCAAAGAGGTTCTCAAGTTTTTGTGTCTTGTTTTTATTATTTAATTTAATCATTATTTTTTGTATTTATTTATATAATTTATTTTATTTATTTATTTATTATTTTTTTTTTTTTACGGGGGGGCGCTTGCTTTTCGGAATAAACTACAGTTTTCGTCTTTTTTCGTTTAGATTTGACATTTGATTATCCCTCGAGGTTCCGTTTATCCAGTTATTAAGTTCTAGACTGAATCGCCTCAATGATCACATAGATATATGATTTAAAGCCATGCTTGTGTTTAGAAACACGTATGCATAAAAAGATGCATATCTAAACTGTTAGAACTGTAAGGGAACACGTTTTTAGCGAGTACACACTGCATCAATACATGGAGTCTATTAGAACGTAGTTCAAGGTGACCTTATTTGAGTATATTGTAGGTTTAAGGGCACCACTTGTGAGATGAGGTGAGGTGAAATTGGGTTAAACGTCGTGCTTGAGAATATTTCGCTCATAATACGACGTGCATGCGTGTGTATGTGCGGCTGCTTGTACTAGCCCACACTGAAGCTGGTTTTATAGTGCTAGCCCACTGAGATACCATGCCGCAGTGAAGCATGAATACCCCACTCAGACATATTATACTGACTCCGAGCCGACCAGTCCTTGTTGTACCCATTAATGCCGAGCGCCAGGCAGGGATCAACAAGTACCATATTTTAACGTTTTTTGGGGATCGAACCCGCGACCTTCCGCTCTCCGGGCGGACGCTCTAACCATTACACCACGGAGGCGGTCAGAACTACTTGGGTATTTATCTGATCTTGGTAATTGGTTCATGGGATGGGTTTATCGCAAGGATATCACTGCAAGATAAATACAAAAGCTTTCCAGGAACGACTTTCTGTCACTCGTGATTGAAAGTTGTAAGACGCTCGTTTACGCGCGGGAATCACACAATTCATCCACATGGGACGGGGAACCCGCCATTCATCGTAGTAATGAGTGGGTGAGTGCAAGCATTTACGCCGACTTCAATAGCAATATTCCAGCAACATCATGACAGTGGACACCAGAAATGGGCTTCACACACTGCACCCACGTGGGGTGTGCTTTCGGCATGAAAACATTTAACCACTATAGGATTTAACCACGAGGCTACCCCTCTGCTCTGACCAGGGGTATTACACAATATATTGGTCAGCCACAGAGTGACATGACAAAAGGTTGTCCATATTTATAGTCCGTTTGGCTCAAAAGCGGACCGATGAATTGCAATCTAACTCGAAAACTAATAAACATATAATACTCAATGAAACGCTGATCATAATCAAAACATCAGACCAACTCTGTGATCTGTTCGCAGAATTTATGTCCTAAAATTAAAAAAGTTGTTTAACAAACTATCATTAAATTTTTGACACAGTTCACTATTTGTTACGAGGGAGGAGTGCAGAGAAAGGGACAGCCAGGTGTGCGAGAAAGAATGGCGATGGCACAGCACCGGTTAATGAATCAATAACTTTGTCGGCACTTGTGCACGTGCTTCTCTAACACCTGGCTGTCCCTTTCTCTGCACTCCTCCCTCGTAACAAATAGTGAACTGTGTCAATATTCTCAATTGAGACATACCAGAAATTATTGTTATCAGGTCATAGTGTTTGATTTATTTGTAAAATTATGCAAATAAAAGTATAAACTTATAATCTAAAAACATATATGTCTAAATGCTTTATTGGCAGTGTTTTTGTTGTGTTGTTGTGTAGAGCTGGTTACATGTATTATTTAGTGTGCGAGGCATCTTGTTAGATGGGCGTTATCGAGTGACGCTCAGTACGAAGAAGTCAAACTGGACAACTACTTGTATAACACCCTTGTATAGGGGCACTGGGTACTTGGGACATTGAACTAAAAGATAAATGTGTAATATCATGAGTGTTGATGATAGACATAAGAGTACATTCACGTAAAGGATGATAACACCTTGCATAACCTTACGTGACAAACATTAAAATATGTGTCAGCCTTGTCCGAAACTCCCTACTGGCGTGACCCCTGGCATGGTCATCGTGTTTGAAAGTGATCACTTTTTATGTAATGTTCCCCCATGTTTTTGTTTTAAGATATTCGTTAAAAATCGCCAAATTTCCCCATGTTAATTGTACGACTGATGCGATTAAACACACACACACACACACGTACGCACACACACACACACTAACACACACACTAACACTCACTCACTCACTCACTCACTCGGTGTGTGTTTAAGCAACAGACACTCGTGGTAGTGAATGAGTTGGATTTTGCGCCTGTTCCTTCAGTTGGTTTTCAGCAATATCATGGCGGGGGACACCAGAAACGGGCTTCAAACATAGTACCCATATACGATTTAAACAGACTGTAGTATTAAAAGTCAAATGTCAATTACTTGTCTTTAAACGGAAAAAGACATTTGTTAATTCTGATATCCAAGAGCTATCAATTATCTTTGGGCGTTAGAACAAAACATATGCTTAATCTGTTGACTGGTTATTGTTGGATATTCAAGATATATTCCTCCTACCAAGAATTCACTCTTTGTATATTTCATTATATAAGTAAACCGTATATTTCGTTATATAAGAACCCGTGAAAGTCCGGGTTAGAATGTACCTTCAGTAACCCATGCTTGGCGTAAGAGGCGACTAACGGGATCGGGTGGTCAGGCTCGCTGACTTGGTTGACACATGTCATCGGTTCCCAATTGCGCAGATCGATGCTCATGCTGTTGATCACTGGATTGTCTGGTCCAGACTCGATTATTTACAGACCGCCGCCATATAGCTGGAATAGTGCGGCGTAAAACTGAACTCACTTACTCACTCGTTATATAAGTAAACCGTATATTTCGTTACATAAAAGTAAACAGTATACTTCGTTATTTAAGTAAACCGCGTACTTTGTTAAATAAGTAAACCGTATATTTCGCTATATAACTGCACCATATATTTCGTTATATATGAGTAGGCCGTATAGTTCCTTATATATGTAAACCCTATATTTCGTTGTGTAAGTAAACCTTATGTTTACCGAACAATGTACTATTGACAATAGATACCATTGTTCTAATACAATTTTAGTTTAATGACATGTTCTTAAAAATGAATGCGGGACAAAAGGGACTATTCCCTTGTGTGGATAATACATTGGTTGTATTTCGGGTTTTCCTAATGTTTTCAAAAAATTTGTAATTTTTCTGTAATTTTTTCAAGTGTATACTTTCTGTTGTCTTGCAGTTTAGTTATCGTGCTGTACAGCCAACAGTATCGTTCATTAACTTGATGTATTTTTCTCAGTTTCCGTGAAATGGATCCAGGATGCACATGGACAAGTGGTTATTTGCGAAGTTAACATCGTGTGGTCAACAACGTGGCAGCACGTGTTCGCGGTCGGTGGATATTTACTGGAGGTGTGTTATCACCAACCTGGACTTACGTCGCTCTCAGATAACTGAGACATCAATTCACATCTATAAAACTAGCATCCCGCTCTTAGATTACATTCATCATCTGAAATTCACCACCCATCAACATGCGCTGGACAAATATCTTGTGTCTTGTCTACTGTGGGTATTTAATTCAGGAAAGTAAGTTGGTATTTTTTCAGTCCGTGTGTTTTGTATCTTAAGGCGTTCGTTTAATGTTTCATATTTGCTTTATTTGGACAATTATTCATGCTTCATTACCACATTACTTTTACAAGAAGGTAAGGAAAACATCTTTATTGTTTACGATTTGTATAAACGTACACGATACTGAATTAAACATCAACCGTTTGATTTTGAGGGAGAAATGGAAAGGATTTATCTTGGAAATATATCATAATCAAGCCCCTGTTTAATTCAAAAACACACATACTTGTCTCGTGATAAATGTTAAAGATGATGCTTGTTGATAAGAGTCCCATATTTATTTATTTATTTAGTTAGTTAGTTAGTTAGTGAAAGAGACTAATGAAGAGGACAATAATACAAAATACTGTCATATATATATGCCTCCATCAGACCCATGACATTCTGGAAGCAATATGCATGCAGCATCGTTCATGCGCTCACTCACTCACTCATATGAAAATGTGCTGGTCATTTTTATCATAGTAACTGAAGTGACAAGAATGAGTAACGACTCTCTCTAAATTAATAAGTTACTCCCAACCTAATTAACAGTAAAACATGTAAGTATTTTATTATAAGAGTATACTACCGTCCCGCTGTTGCAGGTGTTTGTGGTGGGTACCAAGACAAAGGCAACCCATATCATGACGGACCTCTGGAAACACAAGAGCAGACAATCGCAGCTTCACAAGACAATTCACCGCTACACGCGAAAGGTATAGTGCCTCGTCTGTGTGTGCATGTGCGTGCGTGCGTGCGTGTTTATACCTCTCAAAAGAACTTAAGGAACACCTGATTCTTTCATACAACTATGGTAATGTCACGACGTTTAAACTTCCAGCGCAAAATGTCCACGGATTGTTTCTTAGTACGTATTGGTAGAGAATCCAGGTTATGATTGGTCTTCAACACATGCTTGTCGTAAGATGCGACGAACGGGATCAGGTGACTGGTTGACACCTTTCACCGTATCCCAATTGCGTAGATCAATGATTATGCTGTTGATCACTGGATTGTCTGGTCCAGACTCGATCATTTACAGACCGCCGCTGTATAGCTTGAATATTGCTGAGTGCGGCGTAAAACAACAATCAACCAGCCATGGTCAGATAGCAGTCAGTTGGGTTTCGCGCAGTTTTAAACGGTATTCAAGTTGTTTCACGGTGTAGGCTTGACATGGGAAATACTTCAAATATTTCTTACTCTGCACCAAGTTCGTTTTGAATAGGAAAATATCAATCGAGATAATAAAACAAATACTACAACTGCTGCAGGAGGAAAAGGAAAAAAAACACCTGAAAATATGCTGTAGCATATATATATATTTATTTGCTCTACTTACTTTCCTTCAGGCCCGTGAACGTCCGAGTTTGAATGAGCCTTCAGTAACCCATGCTTGTCGTAAGAGGCGACTAACGGGATCGGGTGGTCAGGCTCGCTGACTTGGTTGACAAATTGTATGTCATAGGTTCCCAATTGCGCAGATCGATGCTCATGCTGTTGATCACTGGATTGTCTGGTCCAGACTCGATTATTTACAGACCGCCGCCATATAGCTAGAAATATTGCTGAGTGCGGCGTAAAACTAAACTCACTCACTAACTCTCTCGCTTTCCTTCAGTGTTCGCCCCAGTGGTAAAGGGAGACTACTCCGCCGTGTTCTTCGTGGGAGGCCTCAATGGATACATACCTGTAGAAGCATATCAGATCGTCCAACAGAAGATTGCCTCTCATGGTTTTGTTGTTATTGGCGTCGACTACAAATATCCCCTTTTGCGAAATTCATCTCTTGAAGAAAATGAAGAACTTGATCAGGACCTGAATAAATTTTTCGACGAATTAACCTGGGTTTGTAACTGTTTGTACTATTCCTTTGATGGTGGTTATCTCCCCTGAATTCAAGATCATAAAACACCTGCACCAGTCTTTTAGACATGTCTTCTTTTGACACACAGCGCAATCACGGACTGCACGCGAGTCACTTTATATTAATCATTCGTGTCTAGTGAGAGGCGTACGAGCGAAGCTCAATGCGGTTTTTAATTGTATGAATCACGGTTTTACCAGTAAACGTTACGTCATTTCTTTGTTTAAAACACTGCTCAGACAAATTTGCGAAATATATACATATAATTAATCTGGTGTGTTTCAGCTGAAATCACACCTCTCAAACTTAATGCAAGTGAATATTCTGTGGAACCAGACATCTCTTATGTGTCATTCTTCCGGATGTGACGTCACGATTCGGATGATACGGATGAACAGCGCTCTGTTTCGGGTTGGTTGGTCTTTCGCGGCACCCTTAATTTCACATCTTACACGAGAATTCAATTAAACACAAAATGAGAAATTTCGATATAAATGAATGTCTGTACAACGAAATCTTATTTTTGGTGACTTCTCCTCAGGCCACGGTGTTTCTAGAGCCGATGAGTTTGGATGTGAAACCAGTCAACGTGACGCTCCCGGCCTTGATGTACGGCACCCAACTCTCGGAGGAAGGGGTGCTCAAGTGTTGTATCCCGGGCTATGATTACAAAAAGTTCTTCGACATTTGGCAATGTCCGAAGATTAAAATGGAAGTGGCGGTAAGGATATTATCGGAAATATTCTGACGTTCAAAAGAAAGATCACAGTTGGCATTTTGGGGCTATTAAAAAATATAATTTTAAAATATTTTGAGTGTTTTGATTATGACTAATATTGTGTACGTGTTGCTTATACTCGACAGTGTAGGTACGTTTGTATATGTCTATGTTGCCAGTACACTATCAACACGAACACTTTGAGGATCTTCTTTCTTATGACCCGAAGATACGGGTTAGAATTGATCTTCAGTAACCCATGCTTGGCGTAAGAGGCGACTAATGGGATCGGGTGGTCAGGCTCGCTGACTTGGTTGACACATGTCATCGGATTCCGATTGCTTAGATCGATGATCATGCTGTTGATCACTGGATTGTCTGGTCCAGACACGATTATTTACAGACCGGTGCTATATAGCTGGAATATTGCTGAGTGCGGCAGTAAACAACAACCAACCAACTTTCTATGGCCAGTGAGTGGTACAGGCCCCGGGAGACGAATTAAATGGGGATTGGGTGGATACAGTTTGTCACCTGCCTGATTTGGTGTCATTGGAGATTACTATGAACCTACACGGTTTAGGTTGATTGACTGTTGTATCGATCTATGCAGGTTGGATTCGGTAACATGCATCAGCCAATCAGCTTTCGAAGCTGGCGGTACATTATTGTAGATTTTACCTGTGAGTTTCAGTTGGAGCACAAAGTATTCCAATGATATGTTTGATTCCTGTCATTGGTCAAGCACATAAGCGGTATCCTTTGTTATTTCAGGATTTTGGCCATTGTGACATCCTGGACCAGATTCCTTGGGAAGGTAGGTTCATCAAAAGTACTGTAATTCATTCATTCATTCATTCTTTCACGATGCTAATCATATAATTCTTAATATAGTAGAGTATCTATGAAATAAGCTGGTGTCAAGCTTTGAGTTAGTATATAATAATCCTCAAGACAAATATTGGTCTTCTGCCCCATACAGTTAGTTTAATATATTTAGTTATGATTCAATTAGCAGCTCTAAATATTCAACCTATATTTCTTTTAAATCATCATTTGGCTTATCAAAGAACTCACTATTTCAAAATAGAAGTTTCTCAATATAGATGTTTTTCACATGCTTTCAGATGCTTTGAATTGAAACTTTCAGATGTGTTTAAGAAACTAAATTTGATGTATTATGCGTTGTATGCAGATGCTATTGAAGATGAATACCATTTTCTATTAGTATAGTAATGTAGTGCGGCGTAAAACTAAACATCTAACTCACTCTCTATTTTTTTTTCAAAGAAATATTATTTAAATCTATATGCTGAACATAAATTTAACGAACACTGTTTTCTGTTAGTATGTATATAAACATCCAGAAGGTCTTTTTGCCAAAAATATTATTTAAAATCATGTATGAACATATATTTAACATGTTAATGCGAGATATAGACAGAAACTTTAACAAATCCATAGTGTATGTTATAATGTTACCCGACTTAGACAGTTATTTATATATTATTGTATACCCGAACCGTTGTATATACTTTCTTGTATATTGTCAATTGTAATGTAGAATGGGCCTGTGGCCTCCACTACACGAAATAAAGATTGATTGATTGATTGATTGGTTGATTGACTGACTGACTTCAAAAGGTTGCCATGCCATCCACTTCTGCAAGACTACGAACGACACGAGGCTGGTCGAGTATCGCCAGTTTGTACAGGGGGTGGTGTCAGCCTTCACCATTGGATACACGCAGGGTTGGCCACCCGCTCTCAACTATATCGAAAACCGGACAAATGTACCATTGAAGTTGTTGGATTTCGACGCACAACTGTCATGTTGAAACAGTACGAAAACAGGTAAGATGATGTATGTCCTAATGTCTTGCGGTTGGCAGTAAGAATTAACCCGGCCCTTAAAGATAAAGAAGATGCAGTTATTTTCATATCTTATTATTGTCAATTACGCCATGGTGACTTAACAGGACTAAAAGTTGGGTTGACTGACTGACTGACTGACTGAGTTTGGTTTTACGCCGCTTTTAGCAATATTCCAGCAATATCACGGCGGGGGACACTAGAAATGGGCTTCACACATTGTGCCCATGTGGGGATTCGAACCCGGGTCTTCGGCGTGACGAGGGTTGACAGTCATCGAGACCCCCTGTGTGTTTACAGGTCGGTAGGGTAGCCTTGTGGCTAAAGCGTTCGCTCGTCACGCCGAAGGGTTCGATTCCCCAAATGTGTACAATGTGTGAAGCCCATTTCTGGTGTCCCCTACCGTGATATTGCTGGAAAGGTGCTAAAAGCGTCGTAAAAGCATACTCCCCATTCGTTTGTTGCGTATGTAGTTATACTAGACATGAACTTTCGTGGTTTTCATCAGTGTTCTGTATTTCTAAAATATGTTATATTTGGGATTACACTTTCTCAGTAAAGTACAGATGCTAGTACTTTTGGGGGGTTGAGTCCCATCCGGATTCGAATCCACACCGTCAGAGTCAGGCACCTAATCGCCAGCATACAAAGTCAGACGCCTAGACCGCTCAGCCGCGGTACTAGAATCTGTACTTTACTAAGAAAGTGTAATCCCAAATATAACATATATGTTACATTTGACCACTTTCTAAAATGTCATTGTGTATTTCATATCTGTATTCCTGTTTGGAAAACACAGGAAAATGAGTTTTACTTGCAAACGCAACATAAATTGTATAATTTGGCGTCAACAATGTTTCATGACATTATTGTTTCAGTGCTGACAAGACCAACCTGTATGTGACGACTTTGAATGGGAGACAGGACTTTAGCCTGGAGACCAGTTGTGGTGAAGCTGCTCAATTGATACATCACTGGTCCAAATTCCAACTCCAACCATTTCTGGCCTGGAAGGATTAGACGGAATAAAGATGAATAAACGCATTGTAGATTCAGGACAGATATGTTGGGTCAATATTTAGAGAACACCCCACCAGGTACGAGTGATTACGTGAAATATGTTACCAGTGAAATTAAAGCTCGGGACAGTGAACATTACTTTCACTCGGGACATGTTTCACGTAATCACTCGTACCTCATTGGTTATTCTTTTTATTACCCATTCTGTAATTAAACCGAAAACCAGCATTTATAAACTATGAAAAGATTTTACACGGGACCTCCTCACCGGTATGGGTAATAATGACAGATATCTGGCTAAGTCAAGTCCCATTTAGACAGATATCACTCCAGGTGAATGTTAAGGACCGTCAAACGACTTAAGCTAAAAAAGAATATACCATTTGAATTCATATTTCATGTTATCATTTCTGATTTCACCACATGTTGTCTTTAGGACTTGTTCATGAATTCATTTCTATATGTATACCAATGCAATTTTAACTTTTGTGGGCATTCGTGAGTGAGTGAGTGAGTTTATTTCAGAAATGGGCTTCACACATTGTACCTATGTGGGGAATCGGGTTTTCTGCCTGAGCAGCGAAGCTTTAACCACTAGGCTACCCACTGCCCTTTTGTGGGTATTAAGTGATGTTCATGTGAAGTCACTGTTTACTTTTAAAATATGACTCTTGTACATTTTAAATTTTGAATGTCGAGATATTCCTACTTTTTATTACATGTTTTTAAGGATATGATTCAATGAAGAATTTTGTTTATATGTGTGTTTATGACAAGTCGGTGAAATGATATCAAAAGCTGATTTTAACTTAGAGTCCTTATCGATTGTGATATAATTGTATACTGCAACAAAACAATGAAACATCGAACTGTTTTTACCAAATATCGCAGTTGAGGAAATATGACGCTGTGCACATATCACAGTGTTATTTGATAAAAACGTTTTTTACGTTCTTCCGACTTTGTATTCTCTTTACTGACGAGATGTCGTTATGCAACCTCTATAGTTTAGTTTATGGTGTTCCTATATGACAGGGGTGGCGGGGTAGCCTAGTGGTTAAAGCGTAGGCTCGTCACGCCGAAGACCCGGGTTCGATTCCTCACATGGGTACAATGTGTGAAGCCCATTTCTGGTGTCCCCCGCCGTGATATTGCTGGAATATTGCTAAAAGCGGCGTAAAACTAAACTCAGTCAGTCAGTCTTATATGACAACCTGTGAATGTCCGGGTTAGAATGTAACTTCAGTAACCCATGCTTGTCGTAGGAGGCGACTAACGGGATCGGGTGGTCAGGCTCGCTGGCTTGGTTGACACACGTCATCGGTTCCCAATTGCGCAGATCGATGCTCATGTTGTTGATCACTGGATTGTCTGGTCAAGACTCGATTATTTACAGACCGCTAGCTGTCATATAGCTGGAATATTGTTGCGTAAAACTGAACTCACTCACTCGTTTTTGACACTATGCAGTTTATGCTTTCAATTAGGTCCTGTGCGTGCGTGCGTACGTGTGTACTGGTTACCCCCGATCCCGTTAGTCGCCTCTTAAGACAAGCAACGGAGAAGATCCGGGGTTGAACTGGTCTTAAACAATTGCGATTATCTGGACCAAACTCGAGTATTTGTAGACTGCCGCCATGTAGCTGGAATGTTGCTGAGTGCGGCATTAAACAACGAACCAACATGCATGCACACCGTCAAATGCACTGATCCCTCTGCCACTATGCTGGTAAGCTGTACTTTGTACATTCACGACACTGCTTATTACTTTTTCAAACCGAAAAAAAAGAATGATTGAAAGAATGATTTGGGACGATAGATAGAACCTCCCCCAAGTGTATCATATGATGTGAAAGCACTGAAGTGAGAGTCTCTATCTGTGAGAGTACAGACACATGCGATCCTGTATAAAAGGCTGAGAACTAATTTCAGGGTGGTCACTTTTACTTCAACATGCGGGAGCAACTTTACCCACAGTTTGTCGGGACAGATGATGCAATCGTGATACTGTCCATTCAATGTCAAATGAATAAATATTCCCAGACAACAACTCAGCGAGCTGAGTATAAGGGGAGGCTACTCTTGGCGTCTTGGAAATACTTGAGTCCAGTGCTTCTCTGAAATCTCCAACAACACGTCCACATTATCCCATGCAATAAGCAGTATGAGGTTAATGAATGTTTTTTTATTTCATACTTCAGATTGAATATAAGCAATGTATTTCCAAGCATAAGTGATGTTTACCTTAATGTCATGGGCCAATATAACTGTATGCCCTGATCAGTTATATCCAAAATGTTGATTACAAAAATGACATGTTCCATTGATATTGAAACATGACATATCTGGAAATTAATAGAAATGGGCTGTATGTTCACAGACGTCCAAGACCTACAAAACCCACATATATCCTCACACACTAAGATGGGCTGCCGTGAGAATAATATTGATAGAATATAAGTGAAAATGTCATGCGCTAAACTTCATTCGCTAGGTGAATGCTCATAGCGCTAACAATGAAAGCGCAGCACATTATTACCCCGGATAACTCAAGCTGCCTGCGAGGCGCAAGAAGGTTAATAGTCACATGACTTATCCCACCGGGTACCCATTTTCTGCTGGGTTGACAGAGACAATTTTGAACAAACTCACTTGCCTAACTGATACCAGAAAAAGAAATAGACCACTTGAATATTGGATTTAAATGGAGAATTACACACGTAATCAATACTCTACTAGGCTGGGAGTAGTCGCCGTAACGCTTTATACTTCGGATCCAAAACACAAATATGATTTCCGTACGAAATACATCACCATCGTATCGCCATGTTTTGTTTCATTTCATTTACCCGTGAAGTTCCGGGTTACAATTGATTTTCAGTAACTCGTGCTTGTCGTAGGAGGCGACTAACGGGATCGGGTGGTCGCTGGCTTGGTTGACACACGTCATCGGTTCCCAATTGCGCAGATCGGTGCTCATGCTGTTGATCACTGGATTGTCTGCTCCAGACTCGATTAGCTACAAACCGCCGCCATATAGCTGGATTATTGCCGAGTGCGGCGCAAAACTATACTCACTCACTCCCCAACGTGGGTGTATATTTACTACTTTTCAGTTTACTTATACTACTTTATAAAATTATTCAACAGCTTGTGTGATTATTTCAAATATGTATTTCACACCATCACCACAAATGTATTTCCTATGCTTCATCAATAGCCGTGGGGTCCCGATCTTCTGACCTCCCAGTATTCGCTGGTAGCCCTAAGAGATCATAGGTAATCAATCAGCGCCGTGCTGATCAATCTGGATATGTCTCTGGGCTACGTCAATGGGGTATCAAAGATCATTATGTCCACTGCAAATCAATAATATCACACGGACAGAGGATCTGTCTTTGTGTAAGTCCATTGTCTATGTCACGGTGTTATGACAGGGTCGATCAGCTAACGGGGAAAGTAGATGAACGCCCCTCAACTTTTGTTGGGCTATCAAACGTATTGAGTGTTGTGCAGTGAGAACTCTTTAAAAGAGGGGATCGACCGCCTTAACAGATTAATTACATGACTTCGTGTTTCTGTGTGAGAAGTAACAGGGGCCCAGTTCTGGAGTATATCCCCAGTGTGTCGGATCTTTGCTTGCTGCAAAATGTTACAAAGGCCTTACATATCGTTACAATGGCTGCCATATGACAATCGTTACTGATGGTGGCTGTCATATTGACAGTCGTTACTGATCGTCACATTGGCTGCCATATGACAGTCGTTACAGATGGTGGCTGTCATATGGACAGTCGTTACTGATCGTCACAGTGGCTGTCATGTGACAATCGTTACAGATGGTGGCTGTCATATGGACAGTCGTTACTGATCGTCACATTGGCTGCCATATGGACAGTCGTTACTGATGTCACAGTGGCTGCCATATGGACAGTCGTTACTGATGTCACAGTGGCTGTCATATGGACAGTCGTTACTGATGTCACAGTGGCTGTATGGACAGTCTCACGTGACACTGACTGATGTCACAGGCTATATGCTGTCATATGGACAGTCGTTACTGATGTCACAGTGGCTGTCATATGGACAGTCGTTACTGATGTCACAGTGGCTGTCATATGGACAGTCGTTACTGATGTCACAGTGGCTGTCATATGGACAGTCGTTACTGATGTCACAGTGGCTGTCATATGGACAGTCCTTACTGATGTCACAGTGGCTGTCATATGGACAGTCCTTACAGATGTCACTGTGGCTGTCATATGGACAGTCGTTACTGATGTCACAGTGGCTGTCTCATGGACAGTCCTTACTGATGTCACAGTGGCTGTCATATGGACAGTCGTTACTGATGTCACAGTCGCTTCCATATCGACAGTCGTTACTGATGTCACAGTGACTTCCATATGAACAATCGTTACTGATGTCACAGTGGCTGTCATATGGACAATCGTTACTGATGTCACAGTGGCTTCCATATGGACAGTCCTTACTGATGTCACAGTGGCTTCCATATGGACAGTCGTTACTGATGTCACAGTGGCTTCCATATGGACAGTCCTTACTGATGTCACAGTGGCTGTCATATGGACAGTCCTTACTGATGTCACAGTGGCTGCCATATGGACAATCGTTACTGATGTCACAGTGGCTGTCAGATGGACAGTCGTTACTGTTGTCACATTTGCTTCGACATGGACAGTCCTTACTGATGTCACAGTGGCTGTCATATGGACAGTCCTTACAGATGTCACAGTGGCTTCCATATGGACAGTCGTTACTGATGTCACAGTGGCTGTCTCATGGACAGTCCTTACTGATGTCACAGTGGCTGTCATATGGACAGTCGTTACTGATGTCACAGTGGCTTCCATATGGACAGTCGTTACTGATGTCACAGTGGCTTCCATATGGACAGTCGTTACTGATGTCACAGTGGCTGTCATATGGACAGTCGTTACTGATGTCACAGTGGCTTCCATATGGACAGTCCTTACTGATGTCACAGTGGCTTCCATATGGACAGTCGTTACTGATGTCACAGTGGCTTCCATATGGACAGTCCTTACTGATGTCACAGTGGCTGTCATATGGACAGTCCTTACTGATGTCACAGTGGCTTCCATATGGACAGTCGTTACTGATGTCACAGTGGCTGTCATATGGACAGTCGTTACTGATGTCACAGTGGCTTCCATATGGACAGTCCTTACTGATGTCACAGTGGCTTTCATATGGACAGTCGTTACTGATGTCACAGTGGCTTCCATATGGACAGTCGTTACTGATGTCACAGTGGCTGTCCATATGGACAGTCGTTACTGATGTCACAGTGGCTGTCATATGGACAGTCGTTACTGATGTCACAGTGGCTTCCATATGGACAGTCCTTACTGATGTCACAGTGGCTTCCATATGGACAGTCCTTACTGATGTCACAGTGGCTTCCATATGGACAGTCCTTACTGATGTCACAGTGGCTTCCATATGGACAGTCCTTACTGATGTCACAGTGGCTGTCATATGGACAGTCGTTACTGATGTCACAGTGGCTTCCATATGGACAGTCCTTACTGATGTCACAGTGGCTGTCATATGGACAGTCCTTACTGATGTCACAGTGGCTGTCATATGGACAGTCCTTACAGATGTCACAGTGGCTGTCATATGGACAGTCCTTACTGATGTCACAGTGGTTTCCATATGGACAGTCGTTACTGATGTCACAGTGGTTGTCATATGGACAGTCGTTACTGATGTCACAGTGGCTTCCATATGGACAGTCCTTACTGATGTCACAGTGGCTTCCATATGGACAGTCGTTACTGATGTCACAGTGGCTTCCATATGGACAGTCGTTACTGATGTCACAGTGGCTTCCATATGGACAGTCGTTACTGATGTCACAGTGGCTTCCATATGGACAGTCCTTACTGATGTCACAGTGGCTTTC